TGCCCCCCTACAGAGGAGTGTCTGCCAGGTTCCGACCCTGCGCTCTCTCCCAGAGCACCCCGATCGGACTGGACCGCGTGGGGCGGCGCAGACTCCACCGAGTGCTCAGCGGTGAGAACTGAGCTTGTTTTTGAGAAGATTTAACAAAATGTTACTCTGTGGGGGAAAAAAAAGCTTAGGCTGAGGAATGTCAGCAAGTATGTTGGAGGAGAAAAGCTGATAGAGATAGATATGTTGCTTGTTTTCCACACGTGGTCTCATTATCTCTGGATCCGCCTTGCAGCTGGTGTGTCTGAGTGTTCGGCGACGCTGGATGACAGCGTGAGCGAGGAGGAAGAGGAGAGCAGCTTTGAAGAGCTTGCTGATGGAACGCCCTACCTCCAGCCCGGGGTGGAGCTCTCCGTGCTCAATGAGGTGACGCAAAAAAACCCCACCAACTTATGCTTGTCTCGTTTCCAATCCTTGGACATGTTTCTAAGATGTTTGGCCTCCGCACTGTCCACATGTCTAGAAGTAATCTTACATGTCGGACACAGGCTCAACCTCCTTGTAATTGTACGCGTCTGTCTGCCCGTGTTCTGTGCAGTGGATAATCTCGGGCCATGCCGTGTACGCCGAGGCTCTCTGGGACCATGTGACCATGGAGGAGCAGGAGCTGGCCTTCAAGGCCGGCGATGTGATCCGCCTCCTGGACGCCTCCCACAAGGACTGGTGGTGGGGCAGAGGAGGCGACAGGGAGGCCTGGTTCCCGTCCAGCTTTGTGAGGGTAAGTGGACTTTCTGACCCTGCTCCCATTGACATGATTGCAGAGAACAAAAGACTCTCAACCCGGCTTAGGCCCAAACAAACAGCTGAAGGACTGGAACATAAGAGGGTCCAGCTGGTTTCTGTGGCGATGGGAAGAGACTGACAGCTTGGTCTTAATTAGTGAGGCTGTGGTAACCATGGTGAAGTTGTGATTGGCCGACAGTCGTCTGCTGTGCAATTTCTTGTTGCTGAATCAATGTTGTTCCCATAATAAAGTAGCAATGGTTCCCCTTTTAATTGTTCAAAACCTGTGGAGACAAATATGAATGAGAGATAATTTCTGTTTTTAGGTCTAATCCTGACTTAAGTTTGCTCTCAAATAGATTTATTTGATTCTGGTTCTCAGGAGGTTTAGTTGAGTTTGCGTTGGATGCGTTTCAGGTCCGTGTGAACCAGGAGGACTCGAGCACTGAGAGTGTGGAGAGCGTGGCGGACCAGGAAGATCCGGTCCCCAGGGATAAACCCAGCACTCAGCACAGGGAGCAAATGAGAACCAACGTGGTTCAGGAAATCATGAACACTGAACGCATCTACATCAAACACTTAAGAGACATCTGTGAGGTATTGTGGTTTTTAATTCACGTCATGGTTAAGATTTTAATAACACAAGTGCAGTTTTCAAATGATGACTACCTATGAGTGACCAGTATTTGGAATGCTGATCTGACAATACAAAAAAAAAATCTTGATCTCTTTAAGGCTTTTGGGGCAATATTCTGTGGATTGATGAGACAAAAGTGGAAATATTTTGAAAGTTTGTGTTAGATCTGTTGTTAAGCCGACATCCTTCAGAAAAAGGGCATCAGACAGTTTTGTGATCTTCAGCTTAAGCTTATGCAGCAGGAGAATGATCTAAACCATACTAACAAGTCCTCTTAGCAACTCTAAAAAATAAGCTAAATGCAGAATTTGTCTTGGCTTAGTCAAAGTCCGGATTGTAAATCCGATTTAGATTTTGTGGGATGACAGTAAGCAGGCAATTTTTGCTGCAAATCCTGTGAATATGCCTGAATTAAACAAAGTCAATTACTTTTCACATAGGATCAGCTTGGTTTGGATATTTTCTTTTAGATATAATCATTTTAAAAAATGCATTTTGTATTTACTCAGATTGAACCTGTGTGATTATCTAAAACCTTTAAGTGTAACATGAAAACATTTAGAGTACACATACTTTCTTACAGCATCATCTTTTTGTAGCAAAAACATCTTTAGTAAAAGCGTGGTACTTTTCTAGCACCCCCTGATGGTCAGAACTAAAACATTTTTAAGGCGTTCTGTCAGTTTACCAGGTCGGTTTTTGTTTCAGGGTTACATTCGTCAGTGCCGGAAAAACTCCAGCATGTTCACAGAGCTGCAGCTGAAGACAATTTTCAGTAACATAGAAGACATCTACAGATTCCAGAGGCAGTTCGTCAGAGAACTGGAGAAGAAGTACAATAAGGAAGAACCGCATCTCAGTGAAATCGGCTCCTGCTTTCTCATGCAGGTTGTGACTATGCCTGTACAAAGCACATCTCTGTAGATCATGTCGCAGAATCACTTTTAGTCATCCTGGACTTCTCTTTGTTTCTCTGAAGGGCGAGGGATTTTCGATCTACTCTGAGTACTGCAACACTCATCCTGCTGCCTGCGCTGAGCTGCAGCGTCTCATGAAGATGGGCAAATATAAACATTTCTTTGAGGCCTGCCGCCTCCTCCAGCAGATGATCGACATCTCCATCGCTGGTTTCTTGCTCACTCCTGTCCAGAAGATCTGTAAATACCCACTGCAGCTGGGGGAGCTCCTCAAGTACACGCCCAAAGACCACAGGTAGCATATATAAAAATTAGATGATATGCATAACTTCAATTCATCAGAAACAACTGAAGGATAGAAAATAGAAAAGCAGAGTTTGAAATTAAAAAAAAAAAGGGTTAAGGGGTATGAATACTTTTGCATTGCATTGTCTCTATGAAGTCAACTGAGACGAAGAAAAACACTGCAAAACCAAATCTTACCGAGATTCTGGTCCAAACATCTTAATACACTTGAGATGAGACAAAGTCAACAAGTAACTTTTCAGCAAGATTTATGAGCTTGTTTTAAGTCAATAATTACTTAATATTGATTAAATGTACTAGTTCCACTGGCAGATTTTTTTCATTTTTCCCAAAATCTGCAACTAGTACTTTTTATCAACATTAAGTATGTATTGACTTAAAATTAGGTCCTACAACTTTCTGAAAATATTTTTGAGTTAGTTTTGTCTTATTTCAAGTGCAACTAGAAACTATACAAAAATCATTGGTGGGATTTTCTGTTTTTGGAGTGAAGGTTGCATAATTTACTATAGCACATAGTTACAAAGAGGAGCTGCTACCATAGATCACCACCTGTTTTTGAGTAGAGTTTTACTCCTCTTTTCACTGCAGAGATCACACCGGTGTGAGCCAAGCTTACGAGGCTATGAAGAAAGTGGCCAGTTTAATCAATGAGAGGAAGCGGCGGCTGGAGAGCATTGACACCATCGCTCATTGGCAAGTCGCCATTCTGCACTGGGAGGTTAGATTGACCACTTCAGATGTCATTTCAGTTATATCCTCTTAACTTTGTGTCAAGAATACGTCCGGCTGTGGTGTAAACGCTTTGAGTCGCTGCAGGGCCCTGACGTGCTGGAGCGCAGCTCGGAGCTGATCCACTCCGGCGAGCTGACCCGTGCCGTCCGGCAGGGTAAGCCGCAGCAGCGCAGCTTCTTCCTGTTCGACCACCAGCTTGTCTACTGCAAAAAGGACGTCCTGCGCAGAGACCTGCTGCACTACCGAGGACGTCTGGATATGGACGAGATCGAAGTGGTGGACGTCGCTGATGGGCGGGACCCGGACCTGGGCCTGACCCTGAAAAACGCCCTGCGGTTGCGTAACGCCTCCACCCTGGAGTTCATGTGCATGCTGTGCTGCAGGAAGGTGGAAGACAAGCAGAGGTGGCTGCAGGCCTTTGCCAAGGAGAGACAGAGGGTGAAGGAGGACGAGGAGATGGGTGAGTTATTCAGCGCAGGCGGCAAAACATTGTTTCTGCAGATGTTTGGATCTGAAGGTGTGTTCTGTGTGCAGGAATAGACATCAGCGATGAACAAAGAAAACAGGCCATTGCTAATGCCAGAAGACCAAAACATGGAAAGATCAAAAGTAAGGACAATTATTTCTACAAAGCTGTCAAACTTCAAAAATAATTTGTTTTAATTTTTTTTTTTTTTATTTGAATGTCTTCCCTGTTTTTTATTTCAGCCGTTGGCTATGCCGACTCTGTCCCTCCACACCAAAACCTCCCCCCCCTTCAGCAGCGCCACATCACCATTCCCACCAGCGTGCCTCAGCAGCAGGTGTTTTCTCTGGCCGAGCCGCCCAGACGAAAGCCTCACCACCTGCTATACAGCATCACTCGCAGCGCCTTCTTCAGGAAATGAGGCTCTTTGACGTTTGATCTTTCCGCTAAACCGTCCCAAAAACTCAACGAACACTATTTTCTTCTCATTTGTGTCAAGTGTTGTCTTAGTGCCTATTTTTCCTAATGTGTTTGTTTTTATTGCTGCGTGCCTAAAATTTAAAGGGCCATCATAAAAGTGTTAAAACTCTGTCTGTCCTTGTATTTTTGTTTTTTGTTAAAAATGCTGCTCTTTCAAAAAAAACACCCATCCTGTTGTTTTAATCATTCCAGCTGACAGATATATATTTTGAATTAATGACAACAACGTTTTGTCTGCTTTTATTTCCAGAAACAAGGTTTTAGTTTGCTGCACAAAGGCTGGGATGTTTTTTAATTTTTGTCGAGTTTGTCAACTTTGAGCACAGGAGGATAAATGAACTCCTCACATTCTTATAACTGTGTAATATTGTAAATAAAACTGATGTACAAACACACCTGATGTGAGTGGATGTCGTTCTGATTGTTTATGAAGATGACAGCAGGTGAATGTTGGCTTATAAGGGCGTGAGTATGAATGAAACCTTAGCCACACCAAAGCGGAGTGGAGGTGGGACCTTGTTAAGTTCACCTCAGCGTCACTCAGATCTGGTTTCAGACACCAGTTGGCTGAGGATCCCAACTGTTTCACAGTTTGCCTTCAACTCTGTCCTAAAACAAAGAAAAAATAAACTATGAAGAAACAGGACTCTTGTGTTGGATGATAATGGCTTGATGGGACATCTGTGCCATGGGCACGAAGTGGAAGGAGACGGAGCAGACAAAAGAGAACGACGGTGACAGATCACACCAGGACTCAGCGAGTGTGAGTTACCAAACAGTTTTATTTTAAATCAGTTTAAACTAGAGTCTGGTTAACCGTGGCTTTAAGCTGACAGGAGGAAAGATTCTGCCTGGAATGTCACACCTGTTGCATTAGAGAAAATATTTGTTCTTAATTATGTTTGTGGAGTTAAGTTATAACTAACCCTCTTGAATTATTAGGCACTGGGTTTCCATCTTTTTATTTTGTTATTCTGTGCCTGATCGTCTATGATTTAACATTCAGATACAGTGGAGATTTGCTTGCTCTCATCATTGGCCTGAACTTCATATTGAATTGGAGCTTCTAATTATTTCTGTGGAAATTTATCCCAGGTAGGATGAAAAGTAAAGTATAAACTCATTGGGGATTTTCTTCAATCCATGGAAGGTGAGAACTAAACGTTGCTGCTCTGATTTTTTTTTCTCCTCTGTAATATTTGCTTTAATGTTCACGTTCTACAAGTTACAGAAGAAGTTCACGTTGTTCACAACCATCAACAACCTGCAGGTATATTTTTGGCTAAATGCTCAATTACATTTCCAATATGAAAAGTTAAGAATTCAGCTAACTTAGTTGTTTTGGCTTCATTGTCCTGATACAGAAGCCAGTTGTGTTCAAGTTTCCACCACCTTGCTGTTTATTTGAGTTTAGATGTAGCCCTCTTGTTATTCAGTCATCTTTGTGTAGTTCACCAGCGCCACTGGCAACAAGATGGACCCTCAACATCATGCTGCCACCACCATGCTTGACTGTTTGCTCAGTTTTCATATATTTGAAAGCCTTTTTCCTGAGCCCTTATGTACACATATTGTGGCTAAACAGCTCAGTCTTCGTCTCTTCTGAGGATGAAACAATGTGGTCAGCAATAAGGTTCAGCTGAGCTAGAAGGTCGATTGTGGAGCACGGGCGTCTTTCCTGGACAGCAACTTTTCAGTGTCTGTTGATATAAAACTGGCCTATCTGCAGACAGTCACACTGCTTCACTACCAGACTTGATTCTTTATGGTTCCCGAATATCGGAAGGAGTTGCTGTGGCTGTTTGAGTCAGATAGTTTAAACTTGCAGACATTGATCCAACAAAACAATGATCCCAAAGAGACGCAATTATTCCCAACCAGGGAAACTGTGTTTTATGCTTAGCAGTAATAGTTAGTTAATCCAGCTTGCTTTCTTAAAAATATCTCAGATAATTGAACTTGTTTTGTTCGGATGTGAGAATCTATGCTCTTGTGATGGATTAAGTACCAGCTGCACCGTATGGGATGACAGTGAATGAATAATTCATTTGCATTGGGTAACTCAATGAGTGCTGAGTGTTACATCTGATGGAGATTGAGTTGCATTCAGATATTTCTCCTCCCCAGCATAATTTTCAGCCAACACAAGTCTACATCACTGCTGATGGAGCAACAGCAGCTGAACTGGACAGTGTAATCTAAGCCATAATTCAGGGGGGAGTCGTGTGAACATCTTTCTCTAACGCTCATCAAGAGGCACTTTTATGTTCACTGTGTCATTTCAGCTTCATCTACCATCTTCTTATTAGGATCAGGCCTTAGATAAGTGACCACTGAAAGGTCAACATGAATGGATTGCTGCAGTTCAAGCAGTTTCGGATTAATTGGACGTGACTGTGTGCGACCCCCTCCCACATCCACTTTCCCGGCTTCAGATTGCTGATGTGTCCGTGGAATTGGCCACCGTGGACCACACCCTCCGGAAGCTGCGCAGGATGTACAGAAAAACGAGGCGGAAGCCCAAAGGACTCAAGAGGCTGTGGGCCTACCTGCTGAACGTGCCTCACATCACAACCATCACCGCGGCTGTGCTGTTTGTGGTGGTGGTGATCATCTGGTCGCTGCTCTGGGTCTTTATCTGTAAGTGACATGATTCAATAACACATATTGAATCTAATTACCCGCAGAAGGCTCCTAAATAGTAAAGTTCACATATGTGTAATGTAAAGTAAGATCACATCACAAGCAAAAAACAAAAAAAAAAAAAACTATGAAAGATCTTCAGAAAACCACTCAAATTTGAGGTGATACATTTTCTGATGTGACTTGTTGGTTCCTATAAGCTTCTTTAAATCAGACTTTGATCTGATTTGCTCAGTCCGCAGGGAAAGCTACAGCGGAGCGTATTTTGCCGGGATGTTCCGTGTTGCCAACGTGGAGTTCATCCCAGAGTACCGCCAGGCGGAGTCCCATGAGTTTCTCTCTATGGCAACCAAAATTCAACATGTGGTAGGTGCCAGTGTGACTCTAAACAGCCAGTGCTGATGTAAGAGGGGTGCACAGCTAAATGCTGGTGTCTCTCAGGTGAGCTCTGTGTACAGGACGTCCTCAGTGGCCAGACTCTACAAGCAAGCGGTCATTTCAGACCTCAGGTACAGGAGGACCGTCAATCATCAGCACAGTGAGCCGTAAAGACGTCCTGCAGGCGTCTGCAGCTCATATCTGAGTCTTCTCCCCTAGTAACAACAACAAGGGCGGAGTGTTGGTGCATTTCTGGATGGTGTTCATCGTCCCCCAGATGAAGACCGTAGCGATGCGGGAAGATTTCATAGAGGCCATTCTCAGAGACTCAATCAACACCAGCCTGAAGAACCGGTCTTCTGTGGGCTTCCTGCACGAACTTCCAGTTGACATGGACTCCATCCTCATCAACGGTGTGTCTAAGTCTGAATGTCTGTGTTGAGATGGGCCGGGTGTTGGTACTGGTACTGAATGGCTCTGTATTGTTGCAGGAGTTCAGCGTTCAGACTACTCATCAAACACAGCAGGTAGGGAGCAACACCTCAGGCATGTAGGGATCCCACACAGTCTCAAAAACACGGAATTTGATTTAGGAATTTTACATGAAACTAGATCAATAAAAATTACTGCATTTGCAGACGTATATCCCCTTATCTTCTGGTGGACTTATCTTGCAAAATTCACATTTTGCACATTTTGCACTTCCATTTGGGCGTTTACAGCTTCTCAAAACCGTCCAAGCTTTTTAAAAATAAACACCCAATAAGATAATGTTTTTGGTGTCTAGAAAATTAGCCATTTCGAAAACTTTCCAAATGCAGTACCACAAATTAGCAGGCACTGCACTGTAACCTAGTAAGTCAAGCTGAGCTCCAGCATGTTTGGTTTAACGCCATTTTACTGTATAATGGCTGCTGGAAAAATCTAGTTTTTTGTTGTTGAATTGCCAAGTTCAAGTTTACGTTTTTTTTGTTTTTTATTTAATGGGACTATGTACATTTACATGCATGGCTATAAATATTTGTACATTTACAATGAGTTTTTGCAGAAAATGTAATGAACGTGTTTTGTATAGACCATAGACTTATCCTAACTTGTTCAGAAAAACATAATAAGTAACATTTAAAACTGGGCATGTCTTCCTTCCAACCAGCCTCTGACATGTTCATTTTTGTAATCTTGACCTCCTGCCATACAATCATCAAAAGGTGCCGCTTTCAAAACTGAAATCAAGGCCTAAAAACTTTAAATTTGAATCTTGAAATATATTTCGTTCAGAAATGAATCATATAGAAACCCTGGTCATATGAATTAAAGATGTGCTACAGGTCATTTTTGTCTCTCTCAGACTCGCAGTGCGTTGATAAGCTGTACGCCAACCTCCCCGGAGCCAGCGTCCCGCTAAACGTCTACTCTTCGTGGGGAGGTGTGAGCTGCCACGTGAAGCTGACTGCAGTGCCCGGCTCTCTGATCCGCCTGACCGTCACCTCTTTCCTCATTGAACCCACTGACTGTGTGAACGACGCCCTGACTGTGTACGATGCTCTGCTGCCCATGAGAGGGCGCATTCTGCACAGGTGAGGCTGCAGCAGAGGCATACTAAGATTTATTTTATTTTTGATGATTAAAACATTCTCGTGCTCTGCAACACATGTTTATGAATGTTTTTTTTTTTTTTTTTTTATAATCTCCCTTTCCTTCATGGTAGCTCCCTATTCAATATCCTTTGCTCAACATGTTCACAATCCCTCCAGCTTACCGTATATTGTAACTTTTATTGAGTTTTTTTCTTTTCAAGCTTTCATGAAGTCATGCAACATTCTTATGAGAAATTCTTCACAAATTAAGATAAGGTCCCATCCTTTGTGCATGTGAACATTTCTTGTTTTTCATCTATTCCTTGGTGGTTGAGAAACCCACGCCATCTGCTCTGAAGGTCCATTTTTCATCAGTTTCCATGTGTTTGTGCCGCAGGCTGTGTGAGCCGGTGTCCAGCTTCTTCTCCATCATCTCTACCTCCAACGTCATGCTGCTGTCCTTCAGGATGACCAGTGGCAACAAGAGCTTTAAAGGACACTTTGAAGCCATTGCTGAGGAAAGTATGACACCTTGCTATCTTGTTTTAACACAGAGCAGGTCAAAATATACAGAAAAACATAACAGAAGATATTTTATTGGGATTCAAATGTTTGTGGGATCCTTAGAAAACATATTTTGAATCAAATCAAATTTAACATTTGAATCTGGCAATTAATGATCAGACCTGTGAAGGTAAAAGGTTCATTTATTTTAAGGCTTTTTAATCTTCTCAGAGTATATCTGGGGTGTGCTGTGAAATATCATAATTTTTAGGAATTTCCATCAGGCCAGTTCTGTGTAAAACACAGAAAGTGTTATATTGAGGAAAAACTCAATGAAATTGGTCATTTTGACACTTTTTCCATATTAACTTTTGCAAAATATATACGTTTCTTCAGTTTTAAATAATATTGATTCTCTTGTGTCTTTTTCAGTCTGTATGTCTCAAATTGAGACCAAGTTGGAGCCTGATATCAGTGGTCGACTCTACAGCCCATTCTACCCGAGCCTGCTGCCTCCACAGTGTTCCTGTAGCTGGAGGTTTAAGGTAGACATTCTCCTTAAATGACATAAAAACAAATGCATGTTTATTGCTTCTTTTTCAGTGAGTGCATTCTACACTTCTTTTTTTTTTTTTCACAGACTCCAAATTCTAAGTTAGGCGTAGCTCTGCATTTCGAGAACTACGCGTTGAAACCTACGGACATAAAAGGCTGCGATAGTGGCTGGTGGAGGGTCAACGAAGTCATGTATGTGGTTGCAGCTGCACCACAGAGAACATTTGGCCTTCCTGTGCTTGGCTTGATGGGTTTCTGGAAACCTGCTTCCTCCTCCACAGATTCTGCGGCATGTACGTAGGACACCACACCGTGTTCCGGATCCCCGACCACAGTCCACAGGTTGAGTTTCGCTGCAGCTCTCCTAACTCTGTTCAACCTTTCCAGGCTTCATACCACAGTTACAACATCAGCCAGCGTAAGCATGACACAGGACAAATCTGATTCACTGGAACAACTAAAATAAACACCTGAACATGCGTTGAGTATATCTATGTGTTCTCCAGCATGTCAAGAGGGCCAGTTTTTGTGCACAACTGGACTCTGCGTGGAGAAAAGTCGACTTTGCGACGGCCTGGATGACTGCCAGGATGAGAGCGATGAGGTCTTCTGCTGTAAGTTGTTTATGAAAAGAAAGTCTAATACTGGGTTGCAACACTCTTACAAAATCTTTTATATTTGTTTGAATTAACTGTAAGACAAATGGTGCATTTCTTCACAGCAAGACCCACAGTAACCTGCAGCACTAAAAGCCCTCCACATCCTTTGTTTGTGTGTAATGGAGAGATGGACTGCTCTGATGGAATCGATGAGATAAACTGCACACAGGGTGAGTGTTCCCCATTGATTTTTGAAGAGAAGCCACCTTTCCTTCATGGTCTGTAGACTTTTGACCTCTCAGACTGTAACATTTCAGAAACTAGCTGCTCGGCGATCAGATACCAGTGCAGGAGCGGATCCTGCATCCTGAAGAAAAATGCAAAGTGTGACAACGTCGCCGACTGTCGGGACAACAGCGACGAGGATGACTGTGGTGAGAAGGTTATCCTTATAGATAAGAATGCACCGATATAAAATATTCAACCTCTGAACATGTTGGTGATACTTCACTGATACGTCAGATGGCAAAAGCATTCAAACCTGTTGAGCTTTTCTCACTCTGTTCCCTACAAGCACAAACTTTGGCATATTTTATTGGTGTTTTATTTTAGTGAAATGGATCATGTAAGGAGCATCACCCTGAAAACATTCAATCACACGGACAATGGTGGTAAATAAACATCATGCTGTGGCAAAGCTTTTGTAAAGCAGGGAAACTGTTTGATGGCAAAACTGGTAAAACTAAATACAGAACAATACTTTAAGAAATCCTGTTAGATGCTGCAAAAGGCATAAGATTTGGACCGAAGCTCGCCTTCCTGTTGGAGAACGACCCTTTGACTTATGACTGAAATTATGCTGTTTGGCAAAGAAGAATCAGCAAAAAATGTCAGTGGATGAGGAAGACTGGTAGACACAGGTAGCCAAAAGACTCGGAGCTGTAATTGCAACCCAGGGTGCTTCTACTCAAAGAGCTTGAATGCAAATGCAGGAATCACAAAGTTTAAAAACCCTTTATCACTTTATTCCAACTCAGTGTTATTCTGACAATATATATCACGTTAAATCTGTGTGAAAGAATCTAAAGTTTGGAAAACTAAAGAAAGAACAAATCAGTATGAATGCTTTAGGTAGGATTTTGTAAACATGCTTATGATTTTACTGAAAACACTAACGTCTGCCGACACAGACTAGAATAAAAAGCTGAACCCATCTGTTCGTCCCTCTCAGCCTGTGGTCTCCCCTCCCCGCTGAGGAAGGTGGGCTCTACGACAGGCCTTGACCGGATTGTGGGCGGGGTTAACTCACACGAGGGGGAGTGGCCTTGGCAGGTCAGCCTTCACTTTGCAGGCAGTTTGTACTGTGGCGCTTCTGTCCTCTCCTCTGATTGGCTCGTCTCAGCTGCCCACTGCTTCAGAAAAGAAAGGTCAGACTCCCTCATCGCTGATGAAGCAAAACAGTTTTCTTATGTGTCTTTGCATATAAAGTGACTTCGCAGGAGCTTGTGAAGTGACCCCTGACCTGTGTCCCTGCAGCCTGTCTGACCCTCGCTCCTGGAGTGCCCACCTCGGCATGCTGACGCAGGGCAGTGCCAAACATGTTGCAGAGATCCAGAGGATCGTGGTGCATGAGTACTACAATGCATACACTTTTGACTATGACATCGCCCTTCTGCAGCTGAAGAAGCCCTGGCCTCCATCCCTCTGGCCGCTGGTCCAGCCTGTGTGCCTGCCCCCCTCGTCCCACACCGTCACAGACACACACCGCTGCTTGGTGACCGGGTGGGGATACCGATCTGAGGAAGGTTGGTGACGTGACTTTTTAGTGCTACGAAAAACATACTGATATTTATAGATAGGAATTTATGTTTTGGCCATTTTTACACTCAAATATTTCTGTGATCAAATGACCTGAACAGTGTCTCTAAAAAGTGGAAGTTACCCTGATAAAATGCAAGAACTTTCTGAAACAACATAATAAAAGACTGGACAAAGAAGAACATATTTGGGGAAAACACACAAAAATGCATCTTTTATTTAAAGCCAGACTGCAGAGAGGTTCTCCTTGCATGAAGGTATCCTGAAATTCATTCAGAGCAGCTGGAACTCTCTCCTTGAAGGTTTTGATGATTTGAAAAATGACCACGGGATTTAAAGCTACTCTTTCTGTGAATTGAGCTATTCTGCTTCCTACCTTTACTTAACAATCTAACAATAAAATAAATGAACAGATGACAGTAAAAATACTTTTCAAATGTGGGGTTTGTGTTTAAATTATACTTTGCTTTTTTAAATTGACTTTGAACATCAGACAAACTGTATCACTGATGAAACAACATTTCTGTGAGTCTTAAAAACGTTTCGGTACAGCTGGAAACTGTAAGTAAATCCTGTAGAGTCTAATTAGAAGTCTAATCCCTCTTTTCCCAGATAAGGTGCTGCCCTCTGTGCTCCAAAAGGCTGAAGTGTCCGTAATGAGTCAGACTGAGTGCAAAAAGAGCTACGGTCCAATCACCCCACGAATGCTGTGTGCCGGCCTCCCCTCCGGAGAGAGGGACGCCTGCAGGGTAAGCTGGCATTTCATCACCAGCGAATCCATTGGACCTCTTCATTATTCATCTTGTAGATTTTTGAAGAGTCTTTTCTTGTTTCCCAGGGGGATTCAGGAGGTCCTTTGTCCTGCCAGGCCTCAGATGGGGGTCGCTGGTTCCTCATAGGGATTGTGAGCTGGGGGTCCGGCTGCGGCAGACCAAACCTGCCTGGGGTCTACACCAGGGTCACCAAGTTCACCTCCTGGATCTACAGCCACATCAGCTGACACGATCAAACCCATGTATCCTGCTCATTCATTAATAAAACACATATAACACACTCCCTGTGTATGATGCTTCGTTTGTTGCTGTGTCCCTTCTGTTAGTTGGAAAGGTTTGGATGAAGCTTTGCAGCCTGTGGAGCGTCCATGGGCTCCGATTATAATATCTCCCACACGTTCTCCTCAAACTCTCTTTTGTCCCTTTGATCTGAGACCTTTGCATACACAGAGAGCAAGTTTGCCCACAATATCTGTCCAACGGATGGCTGCTCGGATAGTAGCCTTTCATAGTGGCCCCATTGTCCCTCGCACTGCATTCTGGGGCTCCGTGTGACACCTGCCGCCCTGTTCAGGTAAACGGGAGTCGGTGAATGCACCTGCGTGTCTGAGCTCCTCAGCTCAGATTTCTGCTCCTTCTTTTTGCTGTTTTTTTGTTGTGTTTTTTTGCTCAGAGGAAGCAACAGTGGGGATTTCCTCTCTTTCCCTCCCTCTCTCCATCGTTTTCTATGTCTGAGGTATTGTTGCGAGTCACCTCTCTGGAGCTAAACTGGACTGTGCTATGTGGACTCTGCCCCAAAGCAAAACTTGTGAGGTGTACTGTGTCTCCGCACACGGACACTCTGGCTGTCCAGCTACACAGGTAAGCCATCACTAAGAACCTTTCTCTGCAGATGAAAAAAACTTCCAGAGACATTTTGTACTCTGGATGTCTTTTCTTATTCTCATTCTGTCACTGCCTGCTGTTGATATTTAACGTTGCATTGGAAAAGGAATCATATTTACAGCCCGTCAAACTAATTGAACTGCATTTAATTGTGAAATCCATAGGGGTCTCTGCCTGTGACACTTGGACTGAGTGCTGACATTGCAGGCCGTGGGAAAGCAGAACCATTCAGGCATGCTTTCCTTCCCCCAGAGAATATTACCAGGTCTTAAATGTTTTAGGAAATCATTAGAGTGTAGAGATCGACATTGTTGCAGTCAGTAAATCACCCCCTGTACGGTCATAAAATCTAGTCCTCATTGATTTTGAGGTTCCTTTTTATTCACCACTCTCCTGTTATGTTCAGAAGTCAATAAGTAGCAACATTATTAGATATTAAACCTGGTTTCCAGTGTAAACAAAAGCAAAATTGCAAACTAATTACAGGAGTGAAGGTCAGAATAGCTCAGAATAGTAATAGTCGTTGCACAACAACTGACAACTTCTGGAGAAATTTAAGGTTCCCATCTTCATCCCGACATGTAAACCAGGAAAACATTAGAAAAGACCCTAATATGCTGGTGCAGGCAAAAAAGAAAAAAGTCAGAAATATTTCTGTTCAATTATTTAATTGTAAAATTAGTCCTATAGCCTGGCAACAAGCATCATGCATAGTGACTGGATGAAACTGAATCTAGTCAGCCTCGATTACAAAATAAGAGCTGAAAAGACAAAACGTACGGTTACTGTTCCAGTTTTGAAAAAATATGTAATTCACAGTATCATCAGTATACTAATATTTCATGCCCTACATCAGGTGTCAACGTAGCTCTCAATAAGAGCTTCAATCAGCCCAGAACCGCTGACCAGAGCATCGGTTCTGCATGTTTTATGTGTTTGCCTTATGTTGTAGCTGTGGCTTAAATGGATGGCTGACTGACAAGCTTCTGCATCACTTGGTGACATGTAATCATTTGAATTACAGTGGGTTTACCCTGAGGACCAGTGTTGAGAAGCCTGGACTCACTGCCTTGTTCAGATCATTAAATCATTTTATGGATCCTATAGTTAAACCGTCTATTTTATAAGATCTCATTCTCTGTCATATATTTTACCCTAAAAGAGAGATGAAGAGGTAAAGCAGTCCACCGGCTCACTTGACCCCTCCTTGCCAAAGTCTGTGGGTCCGGTGGGACAGAAGTCGGAGATCCAGACAGCGTCACCGTGCTGTTCCCGAAGGAGGCTTGTGTTAGGCCTCCTACCGTTTTTACCTTTCACTGCTGCCGTCACACTGACTATCACCTATTTAACATGTGAGTTTAGATTCTGACATTTAATCAGACCTCTCCTGAGTCTTGAACTGTATTTCTTTTTAATTTCACTCCACATCAGTCTCATATCTCCAGCGTTCCTGTCTCCCCAGCTCCGTCTTGCTCGGTGTTCTTCCTGGGCAGCAGCGTAGAGTTCCCAAACCTGACCTTCTCGCTAGAGCTGACCGACCCCACCTCCCCTCAGTTCCGCCTGCAGGCTCAGGCTTTGGACCATTATGTAAGTGGAAATGCTGAGCTAGTCTGTTACTGCATTCTCTCTGAATCGCATGTGGTTTATCTTCTTTTAATATGCTTCATTACAACACAGCACCAGTGTTTTAATGTCACTTTCAAAAACACTGCTGCCCTCTTCCTCTCCTCTCTCCTCACATTCTTGCTTGTGTGTCTCCTCCTTATCTTCTCCATCCTCCCATGTCTGTTTTTTTGTACTCTTCCCTTCTGCCTCACTCTGTCTCTCTCTGTGTCTCTTTCTGGTGGTGTTAAATGTAAAGCTGAAACAGGAGCTGTGCATAGTGTGTGTGAGTCAACAGCACCCCGAGGGACCGGGTCCTTTCAGGGGCCGAGGACAAGCCTGGCATTTGTGAGGCTCGCGAGGCCCGGGCAGCGAGAGTGAGAGGAAGAGCAGTCCTTCAATAAAAACATTGTCTGAGAAGCTTTCAGACAATTGGCCCCTATGTGCGCAGCACACTACAGAGAGCGGATGAACCAACCGGGGCAGGGCAGTAGGGCAAGGTGGGATGACAGGAGGACAAAGATAACATCCGGGGGCCAGGGGTTGATTTTTGGAGCAAAAGGTCAGGTTGATAGAAGGGAATTCCCAAACTCTGAATCAGCCTAGTTTGGTATTTATGTAACCTCCTGTGAAACGAGGTAATATTTCAATGTTGTTTACAGACTATATCACTATATAGGGATACTGTCACTTATTATGCTGTACAAAAGTACAAAAACACCCTGTGTCATTTTCTCTCCACTTCATGACTTCTTTGTGTTGATCTTGAACACAAAGTCCCAACAAAATAATTAAATCGTGTTTGAAGCTCCAGAAGCGGTGAAAAGGTTGCATGACCACTTCTCTGTTTCTCTAAAACAGTTCTCAAAACTCTACGACTCTACCCCGTGGAGGTCTTACTACCTGCGCTCAGGAATTACTGCCTTCAGGTGAGCCGAGTCTAAAAATAAATCCAAGAAAGAATGAAAGCATCCTCCTCATCTAGAACATCAATCGTCTCACTTCCTTTTTGTGGGGCAGTGAAGGAGAGGAGGGGCTCGGTGTTTTCTACTGGAGTAAATTTTCAGCCCCCCACAATGTGGCCCTGGAAATCCAGAACTCCAGCCCAGAGAGGCTGCAGCGGAGGCTCCCCGGCACCAACAAGGTGGTGCGGTACAGCCGCAACGAGCAGCACTACTACTTGGAGCAGGAGGACGACACGCTCCCTCTGCTGGGTACAGCTCGTTGCTGCATGTTGTGGCAAAACCTTTTGAGCTGCAAGGTTTTTTAGATTGCTTTGTGTGTCTTTGCAGACTTGGACTCTGACGATTCTGATTCAGAAGACAGAATAGACAAAATGAAAAACCCAAATAGCATCCAGGGAGGAAAATGGCAGCTTGGGTTTCAAGGTGAGGATTGTAGATTTCCTGTGGAAAAATGGCAGGAAGTCATCTCTGCATCTTTTTAAATATTTCTTTTCAGTTAAACACCCATGAACGATCCACAGAAAACCTTTTCACCATCACATCACCAGTTGGGTTTCATCTGATTCATTTCATTCTTCTGTCACTTTCTAGCAATATCTTTTGATCTCTACGCTAAATATGGGAACAACCGAACTCTGAGTCTTGTGAGTCCCAAGAAGCCATACTACCAGTGGCGTCTGCGCGTGCCCTCGGGTCACGTTGTGCGTCTGGTTGTCCTGACGCTTCAGGGTGCCACGCCTGGAAGCTGCACAGCCCACAAACTCTCTGCCTATGACTTCCTGCTTCCTTTGCAGAACAAGATCATCGCCAGGTTTTGGAGCGTTTTGTGATTTTGGACATGTGTTTTCAGACTGTATTTTCATTGGCCTCATCACAGAGAAATACTGAACTGTTTCAGATGGTGCGGGCTGCCGGTTTCAGGCTCATCTCCAGTCATGAAGCTGACCTCCTCGGGGAATGTGATGTTAGTTACCTTCTCCTTCAGTAGGCAGAAAGATGGAGCAATCTTCAAAGCTTACTTTCAAGCCATCCCAAAAGCAGGTAGGGCAGGTAGCTCAAAGCGAGACCACATTACCTGATGTTTCTGGGCTACCTTAGCTATTGTTTCATTCCCACTTGTAGAATAGCATTTGATGTTGATGTTGCTGTTAATTTGGTGAACTTCCTCATGTTAACGTCGCCCCCTGCAGGCTGTGGAGGCTCAATTTCTTCATGGAACGGCTCCATTTCCTCACCTTACTACCCCTCCTTTTATCCTCCTAACGTAGACTGCACATGGACTCTACGGGTGAGCTGAACATCGCCGCTAATGCATTCAAGTTTCAGTATAGATTTAGAATGAAGCAGAGAGGGAGGAAACCATCCCTTTGTCTGCCAGCTCAAACACATTCCAACCTCTGAATTGTAATGTTTGGACTTTGCTGTTTACTTTACCAGGTGCCTGTGCCAGGATATCTGATTTCGATGACAATCGTGACTTTAGACATTCAAGATTCCTCGTCGTCTGATAGCTGTGAGAAGGACTGGCTGGATGTTGCAGGGGTTAAGTGAGTTGTGAGGACAACTCAGATCAGAGACATTTATTTACACTTTTCAGACATTTGCAAACAAATTTAAACCACACTGTGAAAACTTCCTTCCACTACATAAATACTTACCGCTTTTTAAACGACCATAATGTGACAAAATCTGGACATTTTTGAGGATTGTCGTTCTTTAAAATGTTTTATGTACTTCATGGTTTTTGTGACTGATGAACATCTTACTGGTCACATCCAGACTGTGTAATCCCCTGTCAGAGAGCGGCAGAAAGAGAGTGTACTCCTCTCCTCTCTCCATTCACTTCCACTCTGATGAGTCTCTCACCAACAAGGGCTTCTTCTTGCTGTACCGAGCTTTCTCTCCAGAGGGCAGTAAGTCAGACTGGATCCCTTCACTCCACAATACATGTTTGTAACAGACTGGGGCAAATTTCAAAACATTTTGCACAAACAAAAATGTTATAAAGATCATAAATTCACTTTGCTATTGTTATTTATTAATTTTATTGTCATCAGTTTAGCAGAGTAAAAGAAACCCTTCTCAAGTTTCACTTGGTGTTTTTCCAAGCTTGCCCTCGCCAGTTTCGCTGTGGAGATGGACGCTGTATCCCTCTGAGGAAGGTCTGCGACAGAGTGAAGGATTGCTCAGATGGACGGGATGAAGCCAAATGCTGTAAGCGTCACTGAAGGAAAAGAAAAGAACTACACTTTGAACAGAAAAATGTTGCCTTAAAGTGCGTCAAACTTTGGTCCCAAACTCCAGTCCTCTGGTGTCCTGCAGCTCTTAAATGGCTCCAATCCTAATGTTTAACTGAAAAGCATGTTTTTGTAAAGTCTCATGAAAATTTGTCTGGCTTTTGTTTCTGCACCTTAATGTGAAACAATCAGCATCCTGCAGGCCCGGGGAAGTGCTGTGTGGGAACGGTCAGTGCAAACCTCAGAGCAGCCAGTGTGTTGGTCAGAGCAGCTGTGCAGATAGCAGTGAGGAAGGCAGCTGTGGTGAGTAGGCACACTGACCATGTCCCAAAGAGAGCAGGCGCTTGTTGTTTTTGTTTGACTGATTTTGCTTTTGTGCTTTGCAGGAGTTAAATGCTACCACGTTTGTCCCAACAAGGTGTGTTTACCGAAGTCATCTGTGTGTGATGGTGTGATCGACTGCAAAGACCGCAGTGATGAACTGAACTGCACCAGAGCATGTGAGCATTTGTGTCAGCTCTGCTGTTTGACACCCACCATATTTCGAGGAATGAACTCGAAATATGGTGTCAGTTCGTTCATTTTGGGGAATGAACTGACTCATTCTCTTCAGATCTGAAGAGTTGCTCCGTGGCGTCCTATAAATGTGCCAACGGAAAATGTGTCAGCAAAATCAACCCTGAGTGTGACGGGGCTAAAGATTGCTTCGACGGCTCTGACGAACTGCGCTGTGGTACAGCTGATGACTTCCCACTTTTTTCAGATTTGTCATAGTAAAGATGGAGTTCTTATTGATCTTTTTTTTTTGTTTCTGATAGGGTGTGGCACCAGGCCTAAAAAGCGGACTAAGATAGTGGGGGGGTCTGATGCTGTGATGGGGTCGTGGCCTTGGCAGGTCAGCCTACAGATGGAGCGCTACGGCCACGTCTGTGGAGCCACGCTGGTTTCCAATCGCTGGCTCATCTCTGCAGCGCACTGTTTCCAAGACTCTGATGCCATTAAGTGAGAAAGACAACAGAAAAGCCCTCGCCTCATCTTTCAGCCTCACGTCTACATGCTGCATTGCTGCTCGTTGTGTCTGCAGATACTCTGATGCTCGAGCTTGGCGGGCTTACCTCGGCATGCGAGTGATGACCCGGGGAAACCACGGCGGAGCGACCAGACTGATCCGTCGGATCCTCCTCCACCCCCAATACGACCAGTTCACCTCTGACTACGACATCGCCCTTCTTGAGCTCAGCGCTCCAGTTTTCTTTAATGACTTAGTGCAGCCTGTGTGTGTCCCTGCCTCCTCGCACACCTTCACCACCGGGACGAACTGCTTTGTCACGGGATGGGGCGTTCTCATGGAGGACGGTAAGAGCTGCTCAGCAACTGAACCTTAAGATGACGGCTACAACTTAAAGTTGTAACTCTTGTTTTTTGTTATTATTATTTCAAGGTGAACTGGCGTCTCGTTTACAAGAAGCTTCAGTGAAAATTATTAATAGAAAAGTCTGTAACAAGCTATACGATGATGCGGTTACTCCCAGGATGCTGTGTGCAGGAAACCTGCAGGGAGGTGTGGACGCCTGCCAGGTTGGTGAATTTAATAAAAAGATCTGAGAACAAACCCTTGATCCTGACAAATCATATTATTTACATTTTAGTGACAATGCATTGTCTTAAGCTGCTCTTTTACATGGCATAGATTGTAAAGGGTTATCTCTTTCTGGATATTAAGACCCTGTACATTGTGTCTTTGAGTATGGTCCCAGTACACACCACATCGCTAAGAGGTTTTGGCAAGAATCTGATCAATTCACTGGAATTATATATTTTTCTGATCAAGTCAAGGGCCTAATGTACTATGATTTATCAGAAAGTGACCTTACCTCTCAATCAATTTCTCAAAGATCAATAAAGTATGTTTGTTCTAAATCAGGAGTGTCTCGTTTTGAAGCAGTATATTTTCACCAGCTAATTCTAACTAGCTGTAAGTAGATGTATTTTATTTTGACTTTTTAACACTAAACATGTTAAATTGTAATTGTTAATTGTAATTGACCATGTGACCTCTCGTTGCTTCTTTAATAAACCATTGTACATGTGAATCACTTTTGAAAACAGCAAACGCAGCTGATCAAGCTGATGCACAACAAAAGTTACATAAAATAAGAGAACATATGTGAGTAGAAATTACGGAACAAAGCAAAGTGAATACATTCATAAGCAACTCAAACAGTGTAACAACCTGGTGGATTTTTTTAAAACCAAGATTAGAAAACTTAATATTATCTCCTTCATGTGTTTTTTGATTCCTCAGGGGGATTCAGGAGGTCCGCTGGTGTGTCTGGAGCGAGGAAGACGGTGGTTCTTGGCAGGGATTGTCAGCTGGGGCGAAGGTTGTGCGAGGCAGAACCGCCCCGGCGTCTATACCCAGGTGGTCAAATTCACCGACTGGATCCGCCAGCAGACCAAAGGTCAGGTCTGACAAAACATGAGACTCTGACGAGGAAATAACTTCAACATACTGACGACACATTTTTGTTCAGTCACTTTTTGGGAATTTGTTCAGTGCTGCAAACCAATCAGAATCCTCACAATCTGCAAGAAACAAAATGCACAAACATTTATTGTATACTTGATTAGATTGGCAAATGAACTTAAAACCAGGTACCATAAGCACAACATCAAAATGTTACAGCTAGTTTTTTTTTGTTTGTTTGAATGGGGTTTTGTGGAGAGGCTAAAGTAGTCAGTATCTTTCTTGCAGATAATTTTCTGAACAACCTGAGTTTGCAGAAACTTTACTGCAAAGTTGCAAAGGAGTTCCAATTGTATGTCTTTGTTTAGTTTGTATGAAAAAAGAGTGCTATATCTGAATATGGAAGAAATTTCTCACTACTCAACTTGTTTGTAAGAGTCCATGTTGTCTCGTTTCTTATTGAAACCTTACGCCTCGCTGGCGTTCTGATCAGGATAGATATTTTCCAGTGAATACAATCTACATTGTTTCTGTCAAAATCTCATTGAAGCCTATTTTCATGATCGTTGTCAATTCTCATCTTGTCAATATTCAAAATATGTTTTTTTTCCCCCCAAATTAAAGGTCATTTCTTGTATTTAATGTTAAAAAGTCGTCACCATATGTTCATCTATAGATTCGTTTGGGTACTGTAATGTCACTACAATAACTAATGTACTGTTTTCTTATGTATTTTTTGTTTGTGATTTTACAGAAACTTGAAAAACTCTAACAGCTACATTAACTTAAAATCAATTTCCTCCGTGTTAGCTTTGATTGGAAAGAAATTCAAAATACAGTACTTCGTGGAAACATTATTTTATTATTTATTTACATGTCTTGAAAATGAATATGTCGATAATTATGAAACTTTGCTGCTGCATTTGACCGTTTTTATTCCAGCAGAAGACTGTGATGACCTCCCCACAGAACCCCACATGAAATGTCTAAATAGTCCCTAAAACTTTGAATTTGTCGTGCGTTGTTACCGATTACGCTGCTGGTCAATTTTTAGCGATGATAAAGAAAATAATTTAAAGTTATATGCTAAAACATATGTAGCTCTCAATCATTTAACAGGGAGGTTGTGACAAAACCTCAAATATATTGGAATACATGACTGTAATAAATAGTAACTTTAAATGACTTTCCTACACAATAGCCAAGATGCTTCGTTTGCATGTTTTTGTTGCTTAGTTTATGTAACATGAAGCTACTTTTGCCATATTTGTAATCAAATGCATCTCCTACAAGCAAACACCTTGAGATGGAAACAAAAATTCCAGCAGATGCTCGGCTCTTATATGGAAGAGATTTATCATCACTAGGCTTGTTTGTAATGCACAACTGTCTGTTTCTTTTTAAAACTTTTACACCTCACTGTCCCTCTGACACAGGTGATGGTATTTTGCACTTGTCACCTGAAATAGTGTCTGCCCAGAGAGAGACCTCAGGGTAGACGTTTTCCAGTATAAACACTACTCTCCATTCCTTTTGATTCTATCAAAATTAGATTTTTTATTACAAATTGTTTATTCACTCATATGTGGAAAAAGTCGTCTCCATATGTGTTTAATCTACATTTGTCTGCGTACTGTAATATTCCTGTGTACTGATAACTTCCTGTACTGTATATTTGTTTGTGCATTGTGTATATGTGTACCTGAGCCATAGCTACATGTTGACCATACTCTGAAAATGCAGGAGGAACTCGATAAGAAGAGCATGTCTGCCATCCTGAACCTTATTTTATCTTTCAAAACAATAATTAGTTGCTGCTTAAAATGAAGTAAAATCAGAAGTGAAACTCATGTCTTTTGCAGAAAAATGTTTTCATTCGCTTTTTCTTCTTCTCTGGTTTTTCAACTCGTATCAACTCGGTCTAAGGTGATATATCTCAATGAATTTAAACTGAATTCAAGTTGATTTGTTTCATAAACTCAAACTCATATAGATCCCTTCCATGCAGGTTGATGTATTCCATGCATTTATTTTAAAATGTTTTATGCTCATAGTTTATAGGTATAGGCCCAAAATTTACCAGAAATTGAAGAAATGTTATGATAAAGCATGCAAGACTGCAAACTTCATGATTGTCAAGCAGGCAGTTCCTGAGTTATACGGGATTCATTTTGGGGATGTCATTTTTGAGAACTCTCCTAAAAATTTCCAAAAACATGGCTGTGGTAAAAAGAGGTTAAGGAAACGTCTGTTTAGTTAATGAAGTAGAGCTATCAGAAATACCTCCCTGTTTGCCACATGAGTTAATCAACCTGCGCAGGATGATCACATTCCAGGTTATGATAGTGATGTCCTTGAAAAAGAGCACTGATCTCATAAAATCAGCAGCTGCTTATAAAATATTTTAATGGTAAAAGCTGCTTCAACAGAAAGAATGTTGCAGGATTTGATTAGGACATTTTGCCTTTTATTCTGTGTTAAAAACAGTCCATTGTACATTTACCATTTTTCACAAATCTCTCTCAGGCTCATTTGAGATTTTTTAAATTTTATTTCCTCCAGCTCAGTTTTTGCTGGGCAGCTTTAATTTGAATAGTGTTTTTTGTGAGACTAAATAACTTCCGCCGTGATGAAACATAAAACCGGGCCAGAGCTCCAGCTGCTGCTACTCTGACGGGCCGCAGAGCGTGGTCAGGCGGTTCTTCAGCAGCCGGATGCTCCTCAGCGCCGACTTGTGATGACATCCGTGTTTGCAGGACCATCTACGTGCAGTTGGCGCTTGCGCTCGCATGCATGTGGCACTGATTTTATTTTTTTTTAAAGGCATTTTCCGTTTGCAATGTGAGAAACTTGTCTGTCATTTTGATGATTGAGGAAGTGAATCGCACATTCCCAGTGCCTACGTGCTGCTCAGCCCGTCGAACCAATCAAGGGTGCAAGATGGGAACGCAGAGCAGGTTCATGACGCAACCTGCACGCATAATAACCATCATAATCAGGTTCCCTAATACAGACTGGGTAGAATGCGATTTTAAGTTAGCTCAATAAAACTGACTAATTTAGATGCCATAATATTTTCTCATCAGCACCACACTGTCCACGCAGGACTGGGAGGATACTCCTTTTGCGCGCAGTGGGTGTGTCAGTGGACGTAACATAAGTCCACCATCCGGTGACCGCAGTGTGGGAACAATATAAAGTAGCAGCACAATCCAGAGCGATGGGAAAAAGTTCCACTGGAGTTAAAAGCTTGGCGTCCTGTTGCGTGATTTCCCACAGCCAGCCTCAGGAAACTCACCGTCTCCATTCACTGACGCATCAGTCCTGCATGAGCGCAACAGCCTGCAGCGCTGCGCCGCCGCCGTGGAGGGAGGGTAACATCAACAGCAGCAAGGATAAAACTTCTTTTGTGTGTTATATATGAGCGCTTGCTGCGTCGGACTCCACAGAAATGATGCATTTTATTCTTGTCTGCCTGTTTTGTGGATTGTACGGCGCTTTTGGAAAAGGTGAGAGGATTCTTCACTTTATGTTTTAAGAAATAAGCAGGGGAACCACTGGTCATTATGACATATACACGATACATCTACAAGATACATCTACGTGGCTAACGAAGCTTTACGCACAAGTTTAATTGAAAACAATCAAACAAAACAAAAAAAGACATAAAACAACATGCGCACCGATGGAATAACCTGCGTCCAGATTTATCATCCATTTGAGACACTGGTTGTTCAGTCTGAGTAGATCGCGGCTGTGAGCGCTCTCCAGTGAGGAGTGTTTGGATGACGAGGACCCCTGCGCTCCGGCTCCTTGCGCGCTTGGCCCCAACTGAATGGAAACAAAAGCGCGTCCATTCCTGGGTCTATCGGTTTTGATATAAAGGAAAGAGGGGTCACGATCACCCGGAGGTAAATAATTACAGTAGAGCAACGAGGGGATAATTTCATCCAATTTGCCAAAAAGCCGATGGGTTGTTTCTGCGCTCAGAGAATCTCTGGAGCGCAGAGATCCTCTTTGTCATTGCAAAAAGTTAATGACAGCCTAATGAATAGATAGATAAATATGGAAAACGCCAAAAATAATTAGTTTGCTAAGAGAGGACATATTTGGAATTCAGTACGTTTCTTGTAATTGATGTAGATGCACAGATAATGCCATTTGACAACAAATGCCATCTCCGGACACTTTACAATTACTTGTTGCACATCAAGGTTTTTACTTCATTTTAAGCAGCAACTAATTGTTGTTTTGAAAGATAAAATAAGGTTCAGGATGGCAGGTAAATAATTTCTGAATACAGAATCGAATCAATCAATACAATTCAGTGGAGACAAAATGAACTCATTTAAATATAAGAAATATGTAGAATAATCAGTGATTATTCTTGTTGTTATACTTCAGGAAGGTTTTTAAATAAATTCAGCTCTTCAGAAGAGCTGAATATATATATATATATATATATATATATATATATATATATATATATATATATATATATATATATATATATAATTTTTTTAAGTTTGTGATTATGTGTCCAAAATTATACTGATGTATCAAGATTACATTTCCAAAAAGTTTCATTATGACATGCACATTTAACACAAAATGCAAGATATTCAAAAATAACACAAATACTTACAATATAAAGATGAGTAGCGAGCAATTTTCTGTAAAGCCTTAATTTTACATGTAGACAGGTAGGAAAACAAAAACAAAAGTTGTGGAGCCTTATTGGTTGATTATTAACTTTATTATTAACTTTCTGACCTAATTAAAAAAGGAAGCAACTGCATATTTCAGATTTCTCAAGTGGGGACTTTCCAGCTGAAAGTGCTAGGAAACATAACACTGTGTTTACCCTTGTCAAATCATTCTCCTTTTCTTGTAGGCTTGTTGTACATCAAATGTAACATTTCTCAAGTACATTAAAGATCCTAAAAAAAGGTGGTTCCATGCCTGATGGCATCAATATGTTCATGGTCTAACTAGGTCTAACTATGCAGTAAGGCATGCATGGCAAAAAGATCTCTGTGATTGGCCAATTTTAGTGGCCTGAGCAGATGACTTTCGTTGACTCATTGGGACTCCTTCAACTCACCCCTCATTGGGAAAACGAACACTGAATTAATCACAAGCGGTTTTTCTTAGTTTCTTTGGTCTGGATGCAGCAGCTGCATGTATGAAAAGATGTTTGACATTTAGTGGAAAATTTGAAGTATGAATATAACTGCCAACAAGCCTCTGGCCAAAAGAAAAAGAAAAAAAAAACAGGTAGGAGATCACTAACTTTCCCTTCATCGTGCTTTATGTCATTGTTTGTTACCCCCACACACTCATCACACGCAGAAACCCAAGGAAATAGTACAGGAAGTGCTTGCATTGTGAGTAACACTAAAATGGAGCATCCACTGGGAACAATTGACAAGTAATAACTCAACTAACTGCCTTAGAAGCGATTTGGCCACTAACAGAGTTACAAGATGGTTGGGATTTGGGCCAGTGACGGGAGGCATCTATTTCCGAGTGAAGGATGGATGTTTCCCATGTTCTGAGGAAGGAAGGGTGGACAGACAAGTGTCTTCAAGTCTAATTAATACATGCATGACATCAAGTGGAGAAAATGTTTCAGATAACAGGAGGGACATTGCTTAAGCATTTCCACATTACCTGCTTGATTGGAGAGCATAGAATCATGCTTCTCTCGTTTCTCTCTCTAACGTCTGCAGGTAATGAGCAAAAGATGAGGTTCAGCGTCCCGGTCCTGGATGTCGAGAGTACACAACTGGTTCTGGAGGCCAACAAAACTTTGGCGCTCAAATGCAGGTGAGTTTCAGGTATTAGAAGCAAAAAAAACAAAACAAAAAAATGGGTAACTGATGTGGAAAAATGATCTCAAAGTCACCAACAAAACCCTGACCTGGATAAACATGATCTCCTTTTTAAGACTTTAGATTCTGAAGTACCTTTAAAACTAACTTTATTTCATTTATGTTTATTGGGTAAATGCTTAGAAATTTACCTGAGTCTTTCTGAATTACTGCCCTTATTGTTCTCACTATTTCATTATCAAAGACATAAGAAACCAGAAATTTGATCTTAGAGAAATCCTTCAAGAGTTTTGAAGGTCCTGTTAAAAAGTTGATGCCTCTTTTGGCAATGTTCTCTTTGCATCTTCATTTAGCTTAAGAAGTAAACTAAATGAAGCTACCAACAAATTTGGGACTTTGACCATCTTAACACAACTCCAACCTCAGAGGAAGTGGTTCTTTGCATTGGACGTTTATTTAAACTGAAGCTGATGATTGCTATTTAATAAAAGATCATTAGTGGTACCTGGCTACTTCGTCCATTTACCATCTAAATATCAACCCAATTTAGGCATGGCAACATTATTTTGGTGCCATTATCTTTGTGCAAACTCAGATCAACTGGTTCTGGAAGCTGAAGATGATAGTTTGTATATAAGAGACTTTCATCATTATAAAGCAAGTTTTAAGATAAGGCTACTGCATGTACTTTAGCTGTCTTTATGTTTGCATGGGATAATTATTTGCATTGGAGTTAAAAATGCAAATAATTATTAACTAAAACTTGACCTGAAAGTGAGGTTAGAAGTTCTCATTAGAAGAACAAGCAGCACCACCTAAAAGATAATGTCAAGTCTCTGTTCCATATCCAAAATGGCTGAATTACATGTGTGTTTCAACTGTAGCTCATTTGTTAGCTTATCTGATTGTGAAATAGTTTCTTTTATGTTTGAAGACATAAAATGGGAACAATCCACAATGCATAGGAAACGGGGGGCAGTTGTGGTGCTTCAGTAATGAGCTTTCTATGAAAAGTGATAAACGAAACTTGGATTGTGTTTATAGTCAAGAAAGATATAAAAGTGAGGCACTGAAAAGAGCAATGTTTTTTTTTTAACTTTGTCAAAAATCAAAAACCCGCAACATTTTTTGGTTGTCAGTAAATTTTTCCAGTAGATTATAGTGGTGCCACAACTAAAACCTGCGTGAAAGTGGTTTAATAGTTTGCATGAACCGCTGTTTTTGAGACCCGACTTGTTTTAAGATGGTAAAAGTTCAGTTTGGCCTCTCAGAGTAGTCATAGACTTCAGTGTCAGATTGCAGCTAATTATTTTTTCTTCCAAATGAAGACACACAGAGAGTTGCCTACTACCCAATTGAACCTCTCTTCAAAAATCCAAGCCTCATTAATTTCAAGCACACTGAATCCAAATGTTCCTCCTTATCAGAAACCTAGCCCTTAGAAAGAAACCATTCTTAGAAAGCAATGAGGGACAGATGAAAGTGTTTTCTCAGTAAAAACTGATCTTGGTGTAATGTCTGTTTAGGGGTGACCGGGAGCTGTCCTGGGCGTTCCCTGGAGGCTTGGACCGAGATCAAGTGAAAGTGGTCAACTCTCGTTGTGGGAAAATGCGCCAGCACTACTGCAGCCACCTGCGGGTCAGCCGCAGCCAGGCCCGGCACACCGGACTTTACCGCTGCCGCTACAGGCACCAGACCCAGAAACAGCACTCCGTCTATGTATATGTCACAGGTAAGACAGAAGGTGTCCATGATTTCATATTTAGCAGCTTTTCACCATCTCGAGGAAACCCCTCGCCTCCTCTGGCCTATTGTGTATTCCCTCAGGTTAAACAGGATGTAGTGTGTGCTAAATACAGCCCAATGCCAGAGAATCAATTATATCTAAACTGTTTGTCTCAACAATACATCCTCCGAGATGGTTCTGGCGCAGTTTCACCCCATTCCTCCCCGGCCGCTCCTCTCTCCTCACAGGCCCAGCTCCCTAACAGCTATATATAAAACCTTTTTTACTTTCGTTTACGTGCTACCTCGTGGCCAGGAATAGTCCAGCTGCTGAAAGACTCGGGGCCCTGGGCAGAGTTTCCCAGGGCATCAGCCTTATCTGCTCTGGTCAGCCTTGCTTGGAGCATCCTGTGCTTTGGGGAGGAGGGAAAAGGCTCAGAGGGGGAGGGGGGACTGGGAGGAGATGTTGCTGTGTCTCTCCAAGGTGGCGGTGAGGATGTGTGTGTGCATGTGTGGAACTGATGAGATGAATGCCAGTGATTCGGTGGTATGCAGGGGCAGAGGAGGCACGATGTCTGCCCCGGTCCGCTCCTCCCTGTCCTGGAAGGTGACGTTGCTCAGCTCAAGCTGGGCTCGATGCCAGGGTCACGGGGCATGCTACTGTTTGGCCAAAAGGACTCTTGGGGGTCGTCAATCGCTCGGGTCACCATGTCCATTAAGCTTCAGACTTGGCCTGCTGCTCTGTTCAGACGTTGACTCCCTCCTCAAGCCTCCTATTAGGAATCAAAGCGGGAGAAGGAAGCGTTCAGTCTTACTAGTCCTTAGGGTACTTTTGTTCGAAGGTTCAGAGATTTGCTTTCCTTGAATAACACCCTATGGTCACAAACAATGCTAGCAAGTAACACCCACACCTTTGAATGGCAAAGAATTGTGACCGTAGGCGAGCTGAGAAAAGCGGAGCAAACACAGAGAGGCTGTTTGATTGCTTCTAAACAATCTGCGTGTTTATTGTTGACAGCATGCAGTCATTTTTCAGAATGGGGTTTCGATGAATGGGTGTGGAGGACCGAGTGTCTGCTTGTTTGTTTTCAGTTATTGTTAAAATACTTGGAAGTCCATGTGTGATTGTTTGTGTGTCTCAGCTATTTTTTGCCCTGCTTGATAACAGGGCTTCATTTTATGAGAAATTAGAAAATCTTTCACATTTCCAGGTAGTCAGGAGTTTGAGGCATAATTCACAGATTCCCTGTTTAGGTTACAATCTTATTTCTGCAATAGATGGGTCTGTTGGGTTGCCTAAAGTAACATCTAATTCAAGAGCATCCATGACAAAAAAAGAAAGCGCAAAATTATTTTCGTAGTTTGTGATTATTTTTCCCTTATGAAACAAATGGAACATGCAAGAAATGTTTGCAGTTAAAAATATTGTCAATCAGAAAAGGGAAGTGGTGTAAAAAGCAAAAATGTCAGGTTCTCAGCTTTTGTTTTCAGTGCATGGGTCACACAGGAAAACCAGCACCACCTCCACCTCTGATTAATTGCAAAATTATCAGCTTTCCTCCAGGTAACATCACAATGCAGACTTGTTCCCAGATCTAAATGTTCATGAAATAACATTCATTTACTAAAATCCCAGCTTTTTTTCGCTATTATTTTTTTTATTATTATTATTTAAATAAAAAAGGAAAAAAATAAAAAAGTTTTTTTAGATTAGATATAAAAATATTTTTTATTATTATTATTTATCTTTTTTACTTTTCAGAAGATAAAAAATAAAATAATTAAAATAATACAACTCTTCCTCTTTCGTTTCTTCTTTTGATTATTGTTATTATTATTTTTGTTTTTAAATAAATAACTGATACCCTGACATAACAACCAAATCTCTGATATTATCTTCAAGGATGGCCAAAATGCACAACAAAACAATTAAGCTTACAAAATGGACAGAGTTGGTTTTCCAATTCATTTTAATTCAACATCAAAAAACACAGTTAAATCAGGACAGTACAGAGGTAGAAAAAAATAATAAAAAGAGCTCCAAAACATCCCAAAAAAGCTTAACGAAACCACCAGAAAAGCTAATTAAACAAATGACCTTAGCCACAGCCAGAAAATTCATAAAAGATTAACGTTAACAACCCTTAGACCACCCCCAATACAACAAATCCGAATCAAACACATAAAAGGGAAGATTAATAATAATAATCCAACAGAAGAAATATTGAGAACTCACACCCAGACACTGGAAACACAAAAAGAAAGAGGAAAAGATCACTCAGATCAAACTCCACATGCACCCACAACGTGCACGAAGCACTACAAAATCAACTCCGAGCTTGGTCCCTGATTCACAGGAAACCTTCCCTTCTCTACAAAACCAACAGTTGAAGAAATCCTAAAAACCAAACTCAAACCTACAAAAATAGCGCCCAAATCTCTTTTTATCACCCGCAATCATCAAGGCAATAAGTTCACCAACTGGAATCTTATTCCCAAAAAACCAATACTCGTTTCAGGGTATTCCAGCCTTAAAAGATTACCATCATCTGCAAACTCAAACATACAATTAGACATTTAATTCAGACATACAAAACACATCCTTAAAAAAACCAAGACCTCCAACAAATTTAGGATAATCATGTTATCATAATAAGGACTACAAGGACCAGAGACCAGACAACAACAGAAAAACTCATCACCTCCCTCCTTAACACACCCCAGGACACCTTCCCATTTGCAGATATCTGCATACCACTCCTCAATGTTTCAGACGGACTTAACTTTATACATAAACAAAAGGAGATTTTAAATGGTTGATTATTGTCGTCCTTTTGTTTAAGACCTATGTATATCTGTTGTGTGTGATTAGTTTATAGTCTTCTAGTTCTTGGAATGTGTAACCCGGGAGGTTTGTTTGTATTTATGGGGAGGGGAATGAGGGGTTTGTGTTAGGTTTTTATAATAAATTCTTAGATTTTGGAATAAGAATTTGATTAGGAGTATTTAAAAAAAAAAATTTAAAAAAATGTCTTTCATAAACTTTTTGTTTATGAGTTTGGGGAAGTTCATTTAGCAAGTTTCGGTTTAACATGGGAGCTAAAACTTATTAGAAGTATTAAATTTAAAAACCCTTATTTCTCAATTACTTCCTTTTTATGTATTTATGAGGAGGTGAGAGCAAAAGACCGAGATTACGGTAGAAAAGAGAGATAGATGCTCAAAAGTTTTTAGTTTTGCGGGTGTTATGGTGTGGAATAGGAAGGTTTTGTTGTTTATGGGTGGGTATAGATTGTGGTTACATCTGAGGCTTCAACAGATGGATGATCGAGGATCTGGCTGTCAACATTTAAGATCAGAATTGTTTTAAGACATTTGAAATCCATTTTGGTTTTAGCCGCTCTGAGATTAGCAGCTAGCCAAGATTAAAGCTTCAATTTGAACTTTGAGGTGAAAATGCAAACACCAGTCATAGTAGCTTTTTACCCTGGTGTTCCAGCTTCCGAAGTAGCATCTTCTTGCTCCATGAAAAAATGGGCAATTTAATTAGGAGCTTTGTTGCAGAGGAAAATATTTCAACAGGTGAATTTGGGAATAGTGAGATAAGTAGGTAGTGGGGCACTGTACCTTAAAAAAATGTGACATTTCTTCAAAAATATGGCATGCATGTATATTCAGCCTTCTTCAGTCTCCTGCCATCCATTGAATTCAACCCAAACGATTCACCCTGTGCATCATTGAATCTCAGTAAAAAGAAAACTTTTCTGTTCAGATTTGTTAGAAGCTTTTACTGCTGCTTAGACTCACATGCTATGTAATTTTAGTCGCCTGCTGCTTTCAATTTAGCTTGTTTTTGACACTGTGGAAGCAAATGTTTTTGTGCTCACATTGTAAGTTTCTCATGCCCGCCATGTGTGTTCCTGACCGCAGTGTTTGGGTTTCAGACAGCCGGCAGCCATTTGTGGAGCACACCGACATGAGCCCAGCCGTGTTGTACATGAAGGTGAGGGAGCCGCTGGTCATCCCTTGCAGAGTCACCAACCCCAACATCACCACCACTCTGGTTAAGGTCAGTCACCTCAGTATGTGGACATTTTGCCAACTTGGACTCTCTTTTAAGTCCCTTTCATCCCATGTCACACTTTGTCCTCTTCTGCTCTATCACACCCGTCGCGCTGTGTGAACATCTCAGTTTTTCCATCAGGGTTTACATTTACACACACACACACCACACACACACACACCCCCACCCCCCCCCCCCCCCCCCCCCACACACCACACACACACACACACACACACACACACACACACACACACACACACAATACACTATCCAGTTGTTTCTCCTCGCCCAGATCATTCACCACATTGTTCTTGTCTTGGCAACCAGTTACTATCAGGCTTGCGTGTCCATTTGTTTGCGTGCATTTGCGGATATGTGTGAAAGTGTGTGCGGATATGTTTGTGAGTGTTGGCACTTGACCGCTGAGTGAAGAGCGGAGGGGGGTTGTGAGTGTAGAGAGAAGTGCTCAGAGTGCTTGTTGTGTGCATGAGTGGGTCGCGTTCCTGTGGACGGTGCGTGTTTTCTGCCCCATGCCCGTTTTTTCACCGATGACTTCCGATCAAACAAGAAGTGCGATTCGCGGGGGGGGAAGGGGGGGTTTACCCTCTGGAAACAGGATGTTGGCTTTGGGGAAGTAGGGATGAGAATTGATGACTTTCTCCATCTGATGCCTTAAACAGATGGCAGGACTGGCAGAGGAAGCTGAGGTGACTACTGTTGACCCAAGAGGGCAGGCTATTCTCTTCAAGCACAGCACTAAAAGTAGCAAAATCTGATCTAAATAATCCCAGTTTCTACTCTTAGCAGACCAATAATCACACAGGAGTGAGGAGCAATAATGTTCAGCAGAAGGTTAAGGCAGATTTCTCAGCTTTAAACATTAGCATGAGAATAGTTTCATCTACTATCTGAAAAATGTTCCCATTGGAACATTGGGAACAATGTTCCCATTGGAGCACCTGATCAGAGCAGGTGATCTGATCAGATTTGCTCTCTTGCATTTCAAATGTAACTTTATAGGGTTGTGGAAAAACTCCACAGCCCTCTAGAGATGCATAGCAAACCAGAACCAGAAGACCTTAGTGTCTTTATACAACAACAATGTCTTTTATTTTGTTCTGCCATTGAAGAACCAGAGAAACGTCAAGGTTTTGGTTTGCAGGAAATGCATCATCGGTCCCTGCAAGTCACACTCACAAATACACACACATGTTTTTGTCCTGCCTCCATCTTCTGACAAAGTATTTGAAACCACAAAGTGATTTGTCTAAAAATAACTTTCCCTGCCTCCCCTGTGCTTCGCCGGTCTGAACCAGGAATGTCTTCCCTGTCGCAGCTTCTGGAGTGTTTTTTTCCTGAAAGGACTTTGCACTCTGCCTGTGCCTCTGCTGTGACCCTTCTCAGCATGAACAATGCCCAAGAGGCTCTGCTCTCTCACTTACGCCGTGAAAAGCCGGGCCTGGGACATTGAGGTTGAACCGAGGTTCCAGTCCAAATGTCTATATCCTGTAGTAACAGGATGCAAGGAGATGGACTGGAGTCACGTTTCACATATCCTGATGCCTTTTGCTCCTCCTCGCCATCCCTCCGCTCCAATCTCCATCCTCCTCTCCATGTACAGTACGGGTGAGAAGACGGACATGAGAGGGGCACAGAGGGCACTCGGGTGCCGAGACAGAAAGCCACTGGGTTCAGAGGGAGGATGTAGAGGGAAGCATCGACTTCACAGGACAGAGAGGAAAGGGCACAGAGGTCAGCGGCGTCTTAAAGGGTTGCCTCTCTCTGGAGGGGGGATATCAGCTAGTTCACACTGGTAACCCAAGGATGGGGAAAGTGTGTGTGTGTGTGTGTGTGTGTGTGTGTGTGTGATGGTTCTGGTGACGGGGGGGTCCAGTCCCTTGAGAGAGGGTGGGAAGCTTCCACTATGTCACAGAAAAAAAACATTTCCTTGTAGCTGCCTCAAAGAAAACAACAAGGTTATCCAGTTACACAAGTGTCCATGGTGAAGACTTACAAAACCAACATTGAGGCTGAGGCCAGAGTTGTTCTCCCAAATGGGGGAGACCAAAGGGCCCAATTATGAAACCAAAGATTTTCATTTGAGTTTTTCAAATGAGGCAACCATCACAGATCACCTGCAAACTAAAGGGGAATTAAAATAAAGGTAAAACCTGAATCGAGTCTAAAAGAGGTCTTTTTTTTTTTTTGAGTCTTGCAGTCCCAAGTAAGTTGTGAGGAATGCAGTGAACAAGCGGAAGAAACGACGTTTTGGCCGAGATGCAAATCACATCCTTCCCATCTTGAAGCACAGCAGTGGCAACATTATGCTGTGGGACAAGATGGGAAGTGGAATGGTGCTAAGAGCAGTGTGATTTAGACTGTGGATGAAAGCAGAAGAACACCTGTAAACACACAGTGAGAGCAGCGATGGAAAGCTGCTCAAAACATGTCCATGTGTTAGAATGGCCTAGTCAAAGTTCAAGCCAATAGCCAGATGCTCTCCATCCAATGTGACTAAGCTTGGAAAAAAAAATTTGGCATAAGAATTAACTGAAATTTTAATATCAGTGTTTTATTTGTAAAATATTTTAAAATCAAGAGGTTGTTTTGATTCCAACTTGATTCCAACTTGTTTTGGAACCACTCAAGGAAATGGAGAAATGTTTCTGGTCGAGTTAAAGTGCATAGTTTTGAAAGACAAAAGCCAAAGTTTCTTGTAGCAAAAATTACAACCTTATTTGTCTCTTAGCTGATGCCAAGTCATTAAATCTAAGGAATAAACATCCTGTGGTGATTTTTCCTACTTAATCCAAATTAAGTGACAAACCAATTTGGCAGATTATTATAATATACAATAAATGTGTTGAAATGTTTTATCAACAAAATTTGGCTTGATTTTTTTGACCAGAAAATGTGTTTGATATTAAAATGGAAACAGCTTTTTACAAAAATAACAAGTACATAAAAGTACCTTACATAAAATAGCATAAATATTCACCTACTTTAAAGAGACTGACCTAATTCAGCAGAGGTCCCGTCAGTGGGTGTTAGCAGTCACAGCATAAGTGGAGTGCAGAGTGTGTTTTAAGTGAGTCACTTATTTTATGTTAAATGTTTTTGTCATTCTTTTGCAGAAATCAGTTTTCTCTTTGACTGAATTTTTTTGATACAACATTGTTTATGATTGGTTTGTAAAACCAGAACAAAGGGTAAACTATCCAGGGGAGTGAATACAATTTGCAGGCACAGTTTTTAGGCGTAAATCTCACACACCCACTGAATTTCATTCTGTAGTGACTCGACTGCTCCCTTTTCTCGTGTCTTTGTGAGAAATCGGATTTACTCAATGACAAAGTAAAACATGTGACTGATCCCTTCCTTGGTTTGCCTCCTCCGCAGTATTACAGCAGGCTGCTGAGTCAAGACCAGAGAAATATTCTCTGGAACAGCAGGAAAGGTTTCACCATCCAGACACCTAACTTCTCCTACATCGGCCTCTTCCATTGCGAGGCCATCATTGACGGAGTGAAGCACAACTCACGCGTGTACTTTGTGCACAGAACAGGTCGGTCTTTGCAACACGCATTTCTGAACACATTAATGTCCCAAAGGTTTGTTCTCTGAAATATTCTGTGTTTTTTCCCTCATTGATCTCAGTGAGTAACATCACAGAGGTTTACCTGAACACCAGCGGATCTGTGCAGGCCCTGAAGGGGGAGAGGCTGGCTCTGAACTGCACTGCCACCGCAGAGCTGAACACCAGAGTCAACATCACCTGGGACTATCCTGGAAAGGTCAGAGCTGCTTTCGGCCGACCTAAAGCGGGAAACAATAGAGCTTTGACTGGGACGCAGCAGAAAGGGGAATCCTCCTTCTTAGTCTGTGGGACCTAAAATGTTACAGACTGTGTGAGGTTATTGATTATTTACATGCATGTCTACTATTAGGTCAGGAAGACCAACAAGCAAAGAATAAAAAGCAAGAAAAATACACATGTTTACGGGTTTGTGTGTGATACTTATGAGTAGTCACTATCCTGCCTGGAGTTCACAGCACTCAGAAGAATCTCAGTTTTGAATCTTTAAACTGCCAACAAAATCAATAGAAACCTATAAAAACATCCCTAAAAGTATCACATTTAATACAGCTTTTACCTTTACAACACAAAAAAATATAAACTAAAATCAGTAATTTTCGTTATGTCTGTATTAGAGCAATATCTTTAAAACTAACCCCTTCTTTTACATTTTGCTTGTTGTCATCATTTAAAAAAGACTTTATACTTCATAAAAACTGTTGTTTAGATTCTTCGCTCTTAGCTCCTCCCTAAGAGGGCACATCGCGCCACTTTTCTCTCCTCTCAGCTGAATACATGTTAATATAGTTTGCTTAACGATTGCAATTAATGGTTTTAACAGAGATTGACAACACATAATTCCAGTGATGCTAAAGTAAATGAAGAACAGGGGGGGGGAAAAAAAACTTTTTATTAATTCATCAAGTCAGTCAGAAATTTATTTGCCAATCTGAGTTGAACTGAACATTTACACAAATGTAGTTTTTAAATGTAGTACAGCATTCATACACGAAAACAAAAACTCCTTAAAAACTAAACTTCACAGAATAGAATAGAATAGAATAGAATAGAATATATTTTATTGATCCTCAAAGGAAAATTGCTATTTTGAAGATGAGCAATGTGTTAATTTTGTTACTGTTCACCCTCTAGAGAAACAATGCGGGCTCCAGCTTTAAAAGGCTGGTGAAGCACCCGATGCACATGCTGTTCTACAACATCCTGACCGTCCCGAAGCTCCAGCGGTCGGACCGCGGCCTCTACACATGCCGTGTCACCAGCGGCGAGCAAAGCAAACAACAGAAAGTCACGGTCACAGTCTACAGTAAGTCCTTCTTTTTCTCCTGACATTTTGATTATCTGACCACACTCATGTGTTCAAAGTCTGCAAAAAAAGATATGCAGTTTTAGCTTTACTTTTCTGCTGTCTGGGTGTTATTTAAAACTGTGAGTCACCCACGAGTGAATGGGGTTTTATGCGTCTCTGTGACTTCAGATCGCCCATTCATCCGTCTGAAGCCGAGAAATGGATCGGTGGTGGAAGTTCAAGCGGGACAGAAGTCCTACAAACTTTCCCCAAAACTTCGGGCATTCCCTTCCCCTGAGGTTGTCTGGTAAGGAGGATTTTTAGCTCTCGTTAGCCAGGCTTCCTTCTTGAGTTAAACATGCAACTCTGGGATCCTTAAAATCCTGCAATCGTACTTTTCTTACTTTGAATTAAGCTATTTTCTGATCTGAAAATGTTTGGAGCACAGTTGTATTCAATCCTCATAAAATAAATTACCTTCAGAATTAGCCAAATTCATAAACAGTTTGTTTACTAATTGAACCTTGCAGCTTGTTAAATTATAAGGTTGGAACGTCATGGACGAAGGTGCTCTGGTCAGAAAAGACCAAATTCCCACATGATATCAGCCTCACATATGGTGGTGGCAGTGTCATGCTGTGGGAAAGCTAATCGACTAGCAAAGAGAAGCTGCTCAGAAGTTCTCCATTAATCAGGATAACAACTCTAAACACACAGCCAGAGGTATAGAGCAATGGGTTGAGATCAAAGCATATTTGACCTAATCAAAGTCCATTCATTAGTCTGATTGAGGATATGGGGCGACATTTAAAGAAATTTGTGTTAACAGGGGCTCTTTATCCATTCCTACAAAGTTTTTACTGTTTTGAAAACAAAAAATGAGCAAAAACTTCAAAGGGGTTAAATCCGCAGCACTTTTATCGTTTATTTATTTAAAACCATTCGCGATTGTCTGTCCACTTCACAATATCACATTATTTTGTGGAGGGCTACAACTATTTTGCTTTTTACAATATTATAAATACATTAAGATTTGTAAATAAATAATTGAATTCCTTTATTAAAGAAAAAAAACAAGCATTTTTATTGCCTAAAATTCAATAACATAACATTTTTTTGACTACATAAAGATGCACCTGCAGCTACAAAATACTTCTAGCATCAACATGTGAGAAGCTCAAACGTTTCTGCTTGACTTAATGCTACTGCAGTGTATGGCTGATCTGTTGACTGTGATTTTGGACTAACTGATTAATGATTCAACACCAAATTTTTTGTGTGTTTTTACATAATTTGAACCAAGTGATGTTAAAACGATCCATTACTAAGTTAGTTGATTATTATTAATAATAAATTTATCATGATAAATCCGATAAATCATTTCAGCCCTAATATTTAATTGGACATGACATAAATGTCTAATAAGATACATTTATTGACTGTAAAGCAAAAGAATGTTCAAAGTGCAATAAGTGTAAATATTAAGTAAAAAACTGCATTTTTAAGTTCCAAATGATTTCTTTCCATGGACTCTGACATACGACAATATGCAGGTTGTCATAGAGCACTTTGAGGAGGCTCACAGCTTGTTTCTGTCAGGTTGAAGGACGGCCGAGTGGCAGCAGAGCAGTGCTCCAGATACCACATGGACGGCACGTCCCTGGTCATCCGGGACGTTGCAGAGGAGGACGCAGGGAAATACACTGTCCTCGTACGGATCCAGCAACATGCTCTCTATCAGAATCTCACTCTCACGCTTCTGGTCAACGGTGAGGTCCGAGAAATTCATTGGAACATGACAACGAACTTCGTTCTTGCACCTATTAAATCGTTTTTGTTTTTTTTCTCTCTCTCTCTCTCTCTCTCTCCCTTTGCTTCTTGTTGCACAGTGAGTCCTCAGATTGGTGAGAAAGCAGTGTCGTTGCAGGACCCGGGCTCTGTACCGCGGGGGAGCAAGAAATTGCTCCACTGCACATCCCACGGAGTCCCCCCTCCGCATATTCAGTGGCTCTGGCATCCCTGCCCGTCCAAAGGCCTGTGAGTAGCCCAGCAGAGCAAACGTCGCTGAAAAAATATGTTCAAACGAGCTCAACCTGAACCAGTAAACATTCACGCTGAGCCTTACCATTCATAATTTGGCACAGTAGACTTATAACTAAACAAGAAATGAATCACAGGAAATTGATACAGTATTCAATACCTAATTTGTCAATGGATTTTAAGATTTTATGTGATAGTCCAACACAAAGCGGTGAATAATTCTCTGTCCTGTTGTAAGGTGAAGAACAGATTGTCTTCCCATCTATTCCTGCTGCAGAAAAGAATTGCTGTAGCATGATGCTGCCATTGCTGTGCTTCCTAATGGAGATCTCTGCAGCTGCTTCAAAGATACCTTAGAAAATTATTTTATGACCAAAGTCTGCTTTGAACTTCTCAATATTTTTCCCTCTGACCCTTCTCCTGTGTTCTTTGGTCTTCATTGTGACGTTTTTCATATTTAAATTGAGATTTAGTCACACACAGTTGTGCTCTTTTTAATTGTGTAACTTCTAAGCACAGTTAGCCTGAATCTCAGGATGTCAGAGTAAAAAGGGGCTAAGTAAAAATGCACACCAGATTTTCCCTCCACTTCATAATTGATTTTGTGTTGGTCTATCACATGAAAATGGCAACAAAATGCACCGAAGTTAAAAGTACAAATACTTCTACAAGTCACTGTTTATGTATCATGCATCTATGTTTTGACTACAAAAGCAAAACGTAATGCTAAGATGTTAGAGAATTGTTTTATTGTGAGTTAGTTAGCGTAAGTGGGACCGTTTTTGATAAACAAGACATGTTTTGTCTAAGTCAGCATGTGCTCAGACAGCGCTTCCTCTTTGCAACCAGAACAGATGCCTTTTAGGGCCTTTTAAGTGCTGGAATGTGCCAAAAGGCGTGTGTGTGTGTGTGTGTGTGTGTATGTGTGTGCATGTGTGTGCGTGTGCGTGTGCATGTGTCAGTTTGTTTGTTTGTGTGCATGTTCCCAACATGTACGCCTGGGTGTTGTCATGCTTGTGTTTGTATGTTTGTTTGCTCATGCTGCTCTTTTCCCATATGTTACGTTCTGTTGCTGTCCAGTCTGTTCTTTTCCATATGTTTGTTTAAGTGCACCTACATATGCAGCCATTTATACATGTGTGAATGTGTGTGTGCGCGCCTACACTCACAAACACGGTACACAGTGTATCTCAGACTTAAAAGGACAGGGAAGAAAAAACACACTTCAATGGAGGCCAGTTCCGTGCTCTCAGTCACGATTTGTTGGTTTCCAAATCAAACGCTATGATTTAATGAATTTCCTGCGCAGGACGCAGATTGAGAGGCCTGTTTATTATTGTGATTGCACACTGCATCCTGTGATGCTTTTTCTTATATCTGACACACACTCTAATATACAAAGTTCTCATGAGAAATGGTCCAGCCCGGTGATGGAGAGAGACAGCCACTGAGTCAACACTGAGTGTTAATGCAGCCACTTTGGCAGGAACACTGATTAAATAGTTCTTGGAGGTCAGAGGCTCATTGTGTTCCTTATGACCCAGTCAGAAAGGTTAAGTATTACCTGAGAGCTTCGCAGCAGCCGCCCACACTCTCTTCCCTCCTCTGAGACACGATGACATCATCAGTGTACTTGACCTGTGACCCTGGCACTCTCACGTGGCGCCACACCATGATGCCTTCACTTTTCTTTCAGGGGACCTCAGATTAGAGACATGTAGATTTTATTTTCAAGCCCAGTGACAGTGAATAGTAATAAAATGTCACTGCTACGCTAAGTCTCACTTAAACTATGCAAAGTTTTTGTTCTTTCAACCTCAACTTTAAAGACTCATAAAAAATGTTAAAAACCCACAATAGAAACAGAGTTTAAGATTGAAAAAATCCCGCATTTGGTGTGTATTTTGGTTGTAAAAGTCTTTACATTTTTAAGATGTCAAAGGCAATCTGTTTTATGTAAAACTTAAAAAGCCATTTACCTTTAGCATTTGGTTACCGTTAATCCCACTTTTACCACCTTTCAAATCATCATCACTTTGCAGTTAAAGGAACAGGTAGGAGTTTTTGATATGAGGTTCAATTAAAAGGTTAAACAGTTAATATTTTACCTGCAGTAAATTAGTCTCCTGGAGTTTTTATTTCAAATAAATCTAGATTTATTGGACCAGATAAATATTTAGACAGAAGACTGAAGCTAGATGGTATATCACCAATGCTGTTCCTGTATGAAACTTTCAATGGGACCATTATATTCAGAGCATTTCCAACCAGTAAAAATGTTTAATTTCAACGTATGGTGAAATAAAAAGCAAAAATATCACTGGATTTTTTTAAAATTAAGTACCATTGCTAACCAGAAAATCTTCACATGCTGCATTTTATTGCTAACAGGAAGTTCTTCTGTGTTGCACTGCCCCATAGCTACATTTGCTATGAAAATCACACAACTGAAAGGTTTATCATAATTATTTTTAACCACTGCTTGTTTATAGATTGGAATTTATTTTGATTTAAATAAAGATTTAAAAAGAGCATCTTATCTTAAGTAGGCACTCTGACTGGAAAAAGTCAACTATTCTGTTCAACTATCTGGCATAAAAGTAGAGAAACAAATAGAAATACATATTTAGAAGTTTGAATAAATGCAATTTCATTGGCTCTAAGACAGTCTTACTTTTTTGTGGCATGTTTGTTCTCAACTTGTTTCATACAGGAAGGTCACCATTCCCCAAGTAAATTATAAATGAGTCCAGAGTAAAATGAGAAACTTCAAAATGCAATCAAATTTAGTTCTTTAAGCTACTTTGAAATTTTTGTCATGGGAAGTAAGATATAAACCGTGTTGAACCTCTTAATAGAACCTCACTTTTAAATTCACCTCAAAATAAATTAAATAATGTGTCTTAAAAAAGTTGAATGTCTCAGATTCCATTTGGTCTCAGCTATTTTAAGGTCCTTTGTGAAAGCTCTGTTCTGGTTCTGTTTCGGTGTTTTGTATTCAGTGTGTTTCTTTAGATTATTAGTTTTGGTTGGATCCTCACAAGGCCCCTTGTTCTTTGCAGCCCCGCTGCACCACAAGCCTGACGCCGTACTGGAGGAAGCCCAGGGACCGTGGGCCAGGCTGGGCCAGACTGATGGGTGGCCTCTCGCCTGGGTCCTGAGTCCACTCCTGGGTCTGGCCCTGGGAACCTCGGCGCTCTTATCTGGCCCTGGCAGGAGGCGCGCTGGGCTTCCTGTGCAAAAATCAGAGCGCTTTTCCTCTCGTTGTTTGGCTTCCTCTCCGACGCGAGACGCTTCCCAGCGGCGTGATTGTCCCTTCGTCTTCAAACGTGGCACAGTCCGCTTCCTTAAGAGCTTGATCTATTCTTGAGTGCTCCCCCCACACCCCTTCCCCCAAAACGCTGCTGCCCCCCACATACCTCTCCAGCCTCTTCCCTCACCAGCTCTGCCCTCCACAGCAACCCAGCATCCTCCACCTCCACTGAGGAACAACTCCCCAGCTACTTCCCACACAGGATCTCGCCTCCTCCTTACACATCTCCACTACTGCCTGAACCCTCAGTGACAATACCACCTTGTGATTATCCTGCTGAACTGTAAACCGAGAAAAGAGACTTGAAACACTGCTGAGCAGTGAAGACCAGGAAACACAGGAGGATGGCGTTAAGCAAGCCATAACATTAAGGATATATGGACACCTGCTTTACTAGTTATTTATTTATTTACATGATTTGCCAGATCCAAGTCCCTCCCCTTTGCCCGCCTGCTCTGTAGTTTAATGCTTCTTACATTTTACACACTATGAGCCAGAATAAGTGCAATTCCATCTATCCACCAGCTGCATTTCTCAGAGCTGCTTTGCTTTTTTTTGTGTCCTAGAGTGGTACTATATTGGGTGCACGAACAATGCTTGCAAGACCCTGATCTGATTCTGACATCCACAAAAGCTGTGAGTTTCTGTCTCGATTTGTAGCAGCCCCGTTGAAGGTTAAACACATTTTACCTTCGATGGGTGAAACGGGGGAGAGGACAAAGCTTTGTGTGGTTCACCACGGGCTGCCTTCAGTTCCCTTTCAGTTCCCAAAAGACTGACGATCTGCAGAAGCCTACCATGTAGGAGGTCTGCACAGACCAGAGACTATCCTGTGTTATCCCACCCCATGTTAAAATGTTTCCTTTTTCTATATCAAACGGTGTCAGTATAGCATCCTTGTTGCATTTGTAATGGAAGTTAAATAAAACCTGCGTGTATGAGTGATCCTACAAAGCAGTTTGAGAGGATGGTGAGTGTCATGAAGCTTTCAGCATGTCCATCCGTGGGTATTTGCGTGAATTTTGTCAGTGTGCCTGTGCCGTATGCATGTGTGCCATTTTACGGGTGTCTGTCAATGTGATTCATTCTCTGTATACAGATGTTTCTATGAGTAATATATGAACCTAATATTTAATAATTTTATACAACTAACTTACATAAGACAAATGTCAATATTTGCCATCTCCATATGAATCTGTTAAAATGTATTGAAGTGTTATATCATTTATTTGTGGTGTTTTGTTTTGCATTAAAACATGCTCATATTTGTGTACTGGTTCGTTTGCTCGTGTGGTTATTTTTGGATTGAGACGGGAACATCCAGGGACATCCAAGTGTATTTCAGGCTGCAGGTTAGGACAGGAAGAAAGGACAGGAGACGACCACACACACACACGCACATATAAATACACATCATCATCACACACAATTTGGACCAGAGTCCATTCATGTTTTCGTGCAGCTGCTTCTCACCCTGTTGGCAGGCACATACTGTATGAATGTGGTATGTCTGCATCACTGCCTGCACGTAAACTCATCCATCCAACTAATTTTACTTTTCAGAGCTAACTTTGAGAGTGGATGCTTTTCCTGCGAAGTGTGAGTTGGTGAGGCTGGTGAGGGTGTTTGCTCCTGCATGCACGGTGTCATGCACAGGGTGGGTCGCTTGTGCAGCCACACACACTATCTCAATGCCAAAAGGAAGAGCAATCAGGGAGCAGAGAGGAGCCAAGCTTAGGGAGGAGCTCAGAACAGATGGAGCAGAATGACGACAAAGATCCAGAAGGAGACGGGGAGCAGTGACATATCCCTAAACAGGCAGAGGATCAGCGAACAAAGTGGAAGTGATGGTTTACAGTGAGGATGTCTAAATACAGAAGGTTGGGTTATTTTAGGCTTTAGCATCCCCTGAGGTTCTGATTATTGCAGCTCTTCTGTGACTCCTATCAAATTTTTTAAATGATACAAAAACAAGGATTTAGTGACGTATCCCTGGGAAGGAGTAACTGTAAATGACTTAATTTAATTTCACATTAAAATAGCATCACCATTTAATAAATTTTAAAAAGCTTTTTAAAATTTTATTACATCTATTCAGCCAGGGTGAAAAATAACTCAAGAAATAATTGTTTCTAATAGAAAATCTGCATCTCGTTAATTGACACCAAAGACAATTTGTATCCAAAGAGAATTTTTTAAATTGTCTTTGAGTGTCTGTGAAATTTAAATTTCAATTCATAACTTTCCTGGGATGTTAATATGACAAAACACAGAGAGTCTTCTTTCACTTAGCCACTTTGCAAAATGGGAAAGACAAGAAAACACACAAAACTGCACAGGTTGAAAGATGTTTTCTGGTGAGATGAGATGATCACTCATCTCACTGAACCGACAACTATTATGTGTGCTGGAAAATTATGTGGTGAAAGTTTACTCAAGGACTGAGTAACTGATCAAATTACCAATCACTTAATATTTTAAAATCAGTCAGACCAAAATCTAAAGTAAAGTGAACATTTTGGTAAGATGACAATAATTCATGTAAGTAACAAAAAATGAAATCCAAATCGGTTTCTTTCAATATAAAACTTATGAAACTTTAACAAAAGCTGCAGGTGTGCGACTGGCAAATTTTTTGGTTAAAACATCTTTTTTTTTTTTTTTTATTAAGTGGTGAGAGAAACCAGAAATTTTACACAAGTAGAGATTCTTCATACAGTAATGAAATTACCTCAAATAAAAGACCAAAGTACAACATAGTAAAATACTCCTAAAAGTACTTTAAAAAAGTCACTCAAGTAAATGTACCCAACTCTGCTGCTATCACAAGACTAATACGTCAATAATAATGATCGACTAGAATAAAGCTCATAACTAGTTAAATGTGGATTTGTTTTATTCCAAATATTAACTAAATACATGAGAAATAACCTGTGAAATTAAACCAAAACAGAATTCAAAAAGCAATGTTGAAATGAGACTTGGTTTTAAACAGCAAAGTTGCATATTGATTCTTAATGTGTCACTAATTTTTTTTTCAATTTTAAAGAAGAGTTTTATGTCAAAACAATTTTTTTTATTGGAAAATGTTCATAATAAACTTACTATGGAGTTTATATGTTTGAGTCACAGCATTAAAATAATGTGAAATCAATTTTACCTAATGCTAATACAAAAAGGCATTTAAAAATTGGACTATTGGACTTAAATTTTGGAGCTCCTTCACATTAGCATATGTTAACGATAAGCAGCCTGCTTTAGTTAAGCTCTAATTCTTGTTTATTTGCCTAAATGTGAAGTAAGACACGCAACTTGTCTTTTAATGTTATTTGGTTTAGATGAATAAAACTGGCCGCCTTTTTCAACCCATTGTCACGTTTTCCATGTCAAGAACAGAACATGTACATTTCCAGCATTGACCAAGCACTGGGGATTTTTACGCTTCTTCTCTTGTTCCTGTGCCATTTGGTGAACTTTCCTCATCACGAGTTGATGAGGAAACTCATGATGGTGAGGGTGCGTGCACGGTGTCATGCACAGGGTGGGTCGCTTCTCGCGTAAGCACCGGTTTCCACCGGTAGGACGGTGCGTAATCTATGGATTTAGACATGTGAGAGTCATTGAGGGACAGGATCTCCTGTCCTGGAAATGTGGGATGGTATTTTATTTTTATTTTTTTAAGAATGGAAGGAAGCATAATGACAGAATGACAATACCAGCCCGCATCCTTCTCAGTTGAACGAGTGTTACCTCGGCCAGCTTGTCGAACAGTGAGAGAACACTCTCTGCTATTAATATAAAGCAGTTTGGTGATGTTGGATCTCATCAAGGCGTTATTTTTTTCCACCCCTGCTGAGCACAGCTGGGAAAAATACACCCACTCACACACATGGAATTATCATATAATGTCTTCTGTCAACACAGCTGAGTCTGTGTCCTTCTGCTGCTCTTCCTTCAAGGTGTCCTACATCCTCCTCCTCGCAGTGGAGCCCCGTGACGGAGAGTCTGCCTGCTTCATCTGCGTACAACCACATCCTGAGTGTTACTCACACACAGGAAGTCCTTCAGGGGAACAAGAAGGTAGGAGAAGCCCTAAAAAAAATCCCAACGCACTGGAGAAATACGGCTGTAGTTTGTTGATGATAAATAGAATACATATTTGTGTTATAATTTAAATATTGCACATTATCTGAGTTTTACATACACTGACAGGTGCACCTCGAGAAATAAGTAAAACATAGAAAAGTTCATGTTTCGCATATTCGATTAAAATACTGAAACTCGTACATCTCCAAAAATTGGAGTCTATCGTAGTCTGTAGTTACAATACAAATTGTGATGCTTTTTTCTTCCACTCAACTTTCCATTGCTTTGATACAACACAATGTGAAAAGCCAACTTCTCTGACAAATTACCTCAGTTGGTTCTTTTGGGGGCTTATGAAATCTTCAAATCTTCTGAGAAAAGAAGATTTGAAGCTGATGAAATATTTTCCAATTTTCATCAGCTGTCAGGCACAATCATCGACTCTAAAAGAAATAAATCTGTAATTGTATCACTCTGGATGTGGTAAATCAATTATTGTCTCAGCTATTTGAAGTGTTAAATGATAACTATAGGTTGGGCAGGAAGTCCAGCTCTGTTTGTCAGGTCACTCTATGGAAAAAAATGCGCCTCAAAAGAGAAACAAGGCTGGCTATCTAAGTATGAATGTTCTTTGTAAGAGCAACATGTTCATGAGGATGTTTGGTCTCCGACAGACAGTGGGGGTCCTGACTGTTGCAGAGGCCTCGGTGTCTGGCGTGTACCGCTGCATCGCCTCCAACTCTGCGGGAACAGACCAGCTGGATGTTCCCTTCTACGTCACAGGTGACTGAGTCAAAACTTATCATGATGTAGCTGCTGTGTTTTTACTTGTAGAGCACATGGAGACGCCTTTTAAGCCCTTTTCTTGCTATTGTTGTAGAAAAATTCAATTGAAGACATTAAACTTTGTTTCCATTTACTCTCCTCACTTTTGTCTAAGATCAAGAATGTTGTTTTTGAGCGTGTTTCACCACAACGTTAACTCAAAAAGGCATTGCAAGTGTGATTAAATAAATGAATCAAACAGGTAAAATAGGAATTAAAGCAACATGAAACTGAAAGAAAAATGCTCACAAGTTTGGGGAGGAACAAACTGACCTGCTGCGAAACACCTAAAGTTCAGAGATCTTAAAATAAGCAGGTATATGTGGCACTTTGCAGTGTTGTTTGCACTCAAAACCACATTTGGGTCAAGCAATGCAGGTCAAACTGTTTTCAGTTTTTTTTTTTTTTTTGAGTGTTTTAATGGACTGTGTCTAAGTCTGGAGGCCCGACTACCTAAATGTGAGCAAGAGCGTAACAGGAACCTGGGGCTCTTATCGTTCCACTTCCCCATACAGCGAACTTCCTTGGACTGGCAGGTCCGCTTTATTTCGGGAGGCCTTGGGGTGTTTGGTAAAGATAAACACTATCTGCCATCAGGAAACTCTCAGGCCGTTTCCACGGGAAGTTTCAAATGGCTAAAGTAAATAAAAAGCCTTTTCACTGTATTCCACTCGCTGTTTTTGCTCACAATAGCCATTCAACATTGTCATCAAAGGTAAGGAAAGTGGAGGAATCTGCTCTGCTGGTGTCAGGAGTCATGACAAGAAACTGAGAAGGCTTTTTCCCGTCAAACAGCAGATCTGTAAACTTTCCTCACCGAGCCTTGCTCCTGTTTCCACAGACGTCCCAGAGGGCTTCAGTGTAAACCAGCTGGAGCCGGCCAGGGAGGCGGGGACCTTCACCTCACCTGTTCTGCAAATAAGTACCTGTACACAGCGTTGTCATGGCGGAGGCTGAATGACTCAGGTGAATCCCGCTCTCCGGCCTGGAACATCCATCACCTGGAACCGGGGGAGTTCTCCAACGCTGTGGTCCTGATGTTGACGAACCTGAGTAGCGGGGACGCCGGGGTCTACAGATGCTCCGCCCAACATGTCATCAGTGGGCAGGAGAAGCACCTGGATACCCAGGTGGAGGTCACAAGTGAGTCGTTGTTTCCTCACATTCTTTTACCAAAACTTTATTGGTGATTATGTCAAAACCTGCAATTTTCTGCCATTCAAATTCACGTTCAGTTTTAGTGAAGCAAAAAGAGAAGCAGTGAAATGTGACACCTTTTTACAAACTGGGGAATAAATACAAAGCTGTGCTGCTATGTTGCCAGTTAAGCAGATTTGAGTACTCATAAACTTTTGCTATGTTTTTTAGGAGTTTTTTTATATATATATATATAAGTGGCCTTTATTTGAAAGTGCTAGGACAGGAAAGTAGGTAATGAGAGAGAGAGGAGACAAGCAGCAACCGTTGCCAGGCCGGGATTAAGACCTCCTGATGTGGGTCGTACTGAAATCTTAAAACTAAGATAAAATAATTACAATGCCAACATTTTAAACTGCTATCATTCTTCAAATGAGTGGTTTCAATTACAGAAGCAACAGTTCACCTTAGCTTTGACTTTTCCAAGAGTTTGCAAAGATTTCCCACAATAACTTGTTCTGTGAAAATCAGACGAAAATCTTACAAAAAGATTGGATTTTACTCTTTAGATTTACTGTTGCCTCCTAAATGTTTTGCTCTCTCTCACTCATTTGCAGCCTGTGTTAACTTTCTCTACTCCTCCACTGGGCTGCCTGCTTGGCTGGTGATTGGGTTCGTTAAATATAGTTTGGGGTTGGGAGGCAGTTGAGGAATTTGAAAGAAAAAGATTTTTAAAAAAATATAATAATAAAATAAATTAATGTTTCATTTGATTTTATTTCCATACACAAATACCTATGTCAAGGTTCACCAAGGTTCTTAAAACGCTACATTTTTAAAACCGCAGAAAGCGGATCTTGCAGTTTGAAATCAGTTGAATTAGATATGAGAGAGAAAGTGTTGGAGTTGCTGACGGTTTCTCTGATATGTAAAGCTTTACAAAACACGTTTCCTTAGAGGATGAGTGCAGGATTACCAGAACAAATAGCCAGACTAAATAGGCAACTAATATCAGCTTTTATACTCCATAAAAGGCAAAAATATTTACAAATTTTGCTTGTATCAAAAGAAGAATAATAGATTAAAAAAATATGTAGAGCATATGTTACTGTGTGTCTAATAATAAATATAATCTTTTTTTTTTTTTTTTAAATTGCAGTTTCACCTCTGGTTCCTGAATCTTGATTTTTAAACACTATTGTGAGCCATAAGGTAGACAAGTTGAAGAAAGGCTCTTGTGCATTTTGCTGTGTGTTATTTTTATCGTGTCCCTATAAATAAGTTTTATATTCTCCGTTTAGAATAATAGGTAATACATTTTTGTTTTATAAGGTCAAACCCTTGCATGCAATCAACGTCCACACTCTCCACTCTCGTGCGATGATCTTGTTTCTTGGGAATCGGGTTCACCTCAGCTTCCTGGGGCCCCTCCCAGTCGTAGCTATGCTCCTGCGCTCCAGCTAAGCACCTCTTTCACGTGGGAATGAGCTTTTGTGCGGAGGAAGAGCACACAATGGCACTTCCCACAATGCCACATTTACAGGCCCCTGCACAGAGCTGGAGGAACAATCAGCCAATCAGACACTGTCAGGCTCCCCCGGCCCCCGCTGACAATCATCAATTGTTGTCCAGGAGGAAGATAGGGGAAACAACAATCAGTCGCAGTGGTTAAGTGACTTTTCTCCATGTCTTTTACTGCTGTTCTCTACACAATCAGGGTAAACACGTCAGCTTCCTCCCTCAGGACCCCCACAAGGGAATTACTAGAGAGGCAGAGGGTGACTGAAAAAAAAAAAAAAAGAATAAGAAAAAGCAGGCTGCTGGGGGTGGAAAGAGGAAAAGGGGGAAAAATAAAACCATGGGGATTAAAACATTTTGGGAACAAGTTGTGGTATGTGCATTGTGGTTTAATTATAGTGCATGACAAGCTGCATTCAAGTCACTGTGAGCCCCATCCTTATGCTGAAATAATGCATTGTTGTCGCTCTGGAAAAAAATCAAATAAAATAAAAAGATCCCATTTTAAAAAGAAATTGCCCAAGAGGGCTGAAACTGCAGCTGACTCACAGGTCAAAACCAAGGTTACTTTTCAGTGTGCAGCAGAGGACAATTATTATGAGAAAGTGGCACAGGTCCAGGAAAGAGTGGGGGGCAACAACGTGAGTATTATTTAATCCCAGTTAGCATTTATTCTATGAATAACTCAGACAGTTCTAACATCACTAACATATTAAAGATCATTTAAGATCAAATTAAATGCACCAGAAGTCAAGCTTAGTCTTGCAGTTCACTTATTCTCACTAAGACATTTAATGAAACATGTGACACATTAAGACCCTCGCTGCTTTATTTTTCTCAGAAAACCATTAAAATACATGTTTTCTAATGTCTAAAATAGCTTCCCTGATTGTGTTGCTGCAGTTTAAATAAGTCAAATTCTTTTTAAGTTACCTTGCAGATTCGAAAAAGATAAAATCTCTTATTGAGTTATTTAACTGTGAAGTGGAAGGAGCATGCTTCCTGCGACTGGTGACCAAAATCACACTTATGCGTTGGCATTTATGAAAAGTAGTATGAACGTCAACTGAATTGACTGAGTCACACTGCGGTCAATTCAGTCCAAATTCAAAAATACTTTGTTGAGCCAAAAGTGAAATTAAATGTTCCCTTAATTCATATTAATTCAAAATTCTTCAAAAAGTTATTGTAAATTGAGATGGCTGAGAGCAGGAAATACCTTCTGTAGCAGCCTTTATTCCAGTGAATTTGAAGAAGCCTCTGACTGAAGACAGACAACGTTCTACCCTAGTGTAAACGCCTGGTAGTGGTGGCATCATGCACATTTTGTTACAAGAAGAGAGAAGAATGTTTCCCGTTCTGTCCTACGTTAACTTCTGTCTATAATCGAAGCACTGTGTGCTTCTCGCTCTTCTTCCAGCTCTGGAGCCTCCTGTGCTGCTCAGTAATTTGACAGACTGCACCGTGAACGCCAGCAGCTCCATAACGCTCAGTTGTGAGTCTGAGGGAATCCCACCGCCGACCATCACCTGGTACAAAGACGAACAGGTTCTGCAGCAGGGGTCAGGTAGGAAAAACATCTCAGACGTGCACATTTGTAGGCTGTAGTTTTTAAGCCGTTTCCTTCCCGCTTTTTTCTATCAGGCATCATCTTGTCAGAGCGAGATGGGACTCTCCACATAGACAGAATAACGGTCGACGACCAGGGTCTGTATACGTGCCTGGCCACAAACGACAGAGGGTCTGCACAGAGCTCTGCCTTCATTCGGATCAATAGTAAGTGAATAATGTCTATCCTTCAATGACTGGCTGCTTACTGAAACGTAAAGCGAGCGGACCTCCTTATATGAGCATTTCTTATTGTGCATTGTTCCCAGCTGTCTAAAAAAAATAGTCACACAGTCTCGATTTTGCACACACAGTGCAGAACATAACATCGTTTCATGTAAAACTTTGACTCGGAGGTGAGTTGTGTCAGTTCTATTAATGGGAGATGATGAATGTCATGGTTCTGAGTAAACATTGATCAAAGTGGGTCCTAACATAAACGTATTCTGTCTTTTGTTCGGTTTTCCTTATTCACACACATATGTACACACACACACGCACGTATCCGGAGGGGGGAGAGGAGATGGACCTTGCTGGAAGCACTGGTGGCGGACTCACTTCCCAGTCCAGGTTTAGATGGAGAATTGGTGTGTGTGTGTGTGTGTGTGTGTGTGTGTGTGTGTGTGCGTGGGTGTGGTGTGTGTGTGTGTGTGTGTGTGTGTGTGTGTGTGGGGGTGTGTGGGGGTGTGTGTGTGTGTGTGTGTGTGTGTGTGTGTGTGTGTGTGTGTGTGTAAGTCGGGGTGTGTGTGTGTGTTGTGTCCTGATGAGCCAGGAAGGAAGCTGTCTCCCGTTTTTATTTCCTCCGGAAGGGTCCGGCCCGCATCTCACAGAGTCGCCATGCTGGACTGAGCTGGGCATTTCTTCACCCTCCCATTAAAGACGCCAATAATAAACTGGGTGATTTAATGGGAAGAAAGGATGGAGGCTTTTACAGATTACAGCTTGATGGTGAAAATGGCAATAAAATCAGGAAGGAAAATATGACCATGAAGGGATGATGTGAAAGGATTTGTCTTCTCTCTCTCTTTTGTAATCTGCTGTGATTGGAAAAAATATATATATCTGATTTGTAGTTTAAACTCATAGGCATGAATTTGTACTAATTTGGGGGTTTTAATTCCATTTAAGCAAGGCGTTCCAGCAATAGCCTTGTTCTCAAGAGGCCTTGTCTTGCCACTTTCCGATGCTCAAATGCCTGAATTGCATTCTCAACATGTAAAGGTCAATAGTGGAAATGTTCATTTTAAATTGTTGTGCACGCAGGCGTGTCAGAAGTCTCTTTTCTGGAAATTCCCACTCTAACCTGTACGTGTGTGGTGGCTACTCTCTTCTGGCTCTTGCTCACGCTCTTCATTCGGAAACTGAGACAGGTGAGGGACAACAAAAACATTGTTTATAATTATGGCATCTTTTTAGTGTGGATTTGTCATGGACGTGTTCCAGTTTTTTTTTGTTTTATTATTATTATTATTATTATTATTATTATTATTATTATTATTATTATATTATTCCTATGCAAGGCTTTCGTATCATTTGATCCTTTTCATATCTTGCTAAGCGTTACAACAAACTTCAAGTATTTTCCTAGAAAGAAACAGTTTTGCATTTTGCACTGCAAACCTAAAGGTAACAAAGGTTTAAGTCAGAATTTTCATTGGCTTTAAATTCAGCTTGAGTATGTTTTTTATTATTTTATTTGTTTCTCCTGTGAATATCTCAGTCATCTGAACGTGGTTTTGTCTCTCCTTTTGCTCCACAGCCCAACGTTTCCAAGCACAAAGCAGAGTACTTATCAGTCACAGTGGACCCCGCAGAGGGGCCCGCAGAGGGGCCATGTGACCGCCTGCAGTATGACCCCAGCCAATGGGAGTTCCCTCGGGAGCGTCTCAAATTAGGTACGCTTCTTCGATGCATTAAACACGCGTGTTTATTTCTGTGTCGCGGGCCTTTTTGCGATGATCAGAGCGATGTCTGGAAACGAGGAAGGTGTTTGTGATCACCCAGCTGATACGAGGATTTTCTCATCGGCCTTTATCTGGTTATTATTGGGAGTGACTCTCGTTCCATTAATCAAGACTGTGTCTGTGTTGGGCTAATCAGCTGGCGTTCAACTGGTGTTTACTGGGAACAGTCAACTCCCTCCACCGTCAGGGAGGGACCCGGTCAGAGCAGGCGGTTGATGAGGCCTCCTATCAGCGCCTCCCATCTGGAATGGATGTGATTATTGGTAATTAATTGATACACCTGTTTGCAGGGAAACCTCTCGGCCGCGGAGCCTTTGGTAAAGTGATCCAGGCGTCCGCGTTTGGCATCGACAGCTCCACCAGCTGCAGGACTGTGGCAGTGAAGATGCTCAAAGGTGCTCACCTCATCTTTCTTTTCTTTTTTTCTTTTTTTTACATGATCTCTGTCTTGTTTACTGTTCTACCTTTTGTCCACCAGAGGGAGCCACAAGCAGCGAACACAAGGCTCTGATGACCGAGCTGAAGATCCTCAATCACGTTGGGAACCATCTGAATGTGGTCAACCTGCTGGGGGCCTGCACCAAACCAGGAGGTGCTTTGTTTCATCCAGCTTTCTATACATGCTTATTTCTATGTGCACAAGTCAGGATTTCAGCTGGCAGCTTCTAACTAAAGGTTGATGTGTTGCTTTTTGCGTGCAGGACCACTGATGGTCATTGTCGAGTACTGTCGCTTCGGAAACCTCTCTGCCTTCTTAAAGAACAAAAGAGGCGTGTATGTGCACGGCCGGGTAAGTGTGAACTGCTCTGCAGCTATTTTCTGTGGTTTTGAGATAAACCTCAATGCCTCCTCTGGTATGCGTAATTGCAAAATCTGACCCTTAAAAAACTCACTTCTGCATTATGTTTGAGGTATAAAAATTTTATCACGCAGAACATGTATTTCCTTAATTACTGCACACATTTCCAGATAAGTCAAAGAGTGCTTGTGACACCAAACTGTCCAAAAACAACTCTAGTTTCTTTTAAACTATTTATAATAAAACTGAAATGTAATAATATGAACTGTCTGTTTTTTCTTCTTTAGCAGGCAGAGCTCAGTCTTGTTTCAACCCTCTTTGACAGCCAGAGCCGCATCAGCGCTGAGTTTGGTGACACAGAAGAGAAATGCTCTGGTAGGACCATAACCTTCCATACATCTTCCTAAATGGATCCTTAATCAGAGTGTTTTTCATCCCAGTTTTGTTTTCCTACAGATCCCAAACCGCTGTCCTCCTCCTCTCCTCTCTTCCTCGAGGATCTCATTTCCTTCAGCTTTCAGGTGGCGAGAGGAATGGAGTTTCTGGCGTCCCGCAAGGTTTGATGCTGCACAAGCTTCAGTTTAATGAAGTGTTTCTGATATATAGTGTAATATATATATATATATATATATATATATATATATATATATATATATATATATATATATATATATATATATACATTCCATTTTGTGGCCAAACCTTTTGTGTCGCTTTTCACATGCTTCTCACAATAATTTGCTGAAGTTCTGTGACAGAACTGGTGCAGCCGAGTCCGGTTTGTAGCCTGCCTTGCTCTCACAACACCTTTTCAGTTCTGCACACACATTTTCAAAATATAAGATCAGAGCTTCGTGATGGTTCCAAAAGAAACACTGACTTTGTTTCCCTTTTTTTTTTTCTAATTTGCACTTTATTGCACAATACTTTGACATACTGCTTTAATATTTCCGCATGATGTTCTTTTCTCATCAAATCATCTACTTTGGAGAGTCCACCAGTCCCTCTAGCAGCAAAAATCATCTCAACATGAAGTTACTGCCGCCATACTTTACTCTTGTAATGGTGTGATGGTCTCAGCAAGATACAGGAGCAAGTAAATAACTCCTTAATGGTGACTTTGAAAAAGTACTAGCTCCTCTTGCAGATTATTTCACTTACAAAAAGACATTTCTCCTGTAAGTTGAATAATGTGCCAGTCAAACTGGAACTTCTTCACCATTTTTAAGGAATTATCAACTTAAAAGACGCTAAAAAAATTACTTGTTAGTTGTAATTTATCAAGTGTACTAAGGTATTTTTACTAAAAACTAGACCAAAAACGCTCGACAAGATTTTGCGTTTTTGCAATCGTTTTTCAGAGCCGCCATTATAGCGGTTTTTCAGTGTTGGTGACATTCTCTCCCCAGTGTCAACCAGCCACTTCACAAGATCCATTCTGGGATCGGCTCACACATTCTGCACCAAAACATGTTTATTTTGTTTTCTCCTGAATGAACATTCCCATTGTGCTTCTAGAACAAAATAACTCTTAATGCTTGTAAACATCTGACTCTGGACCAACAATATTTCTCTCCTTATTTCTATGACCTAAAACTGCATATTGTTGTTTTTTTTTGTTTTTTTTACTGAAGTGCTTTCTGTATGCCTTCCTCAGTGCATCCACAGAGATCTGGCTGCCAGGAACATTTTGTTGACTGACAACAAAGTGGTGAAGATCTGCGACTTCGGCCTGGCCAGAGACATCTACAAAGACCCGGACTACGTCAGGAAAGGAGATGTGAGTGGAGGAAGGCTTTTATTTCGCGCCTGTTCTTCTTCTTCTCAGTTTGGTTCTTACAAAATCGAACGCAGCTTTCATTTTGCCTTGCGCTGCAGTGCTCAAAGCATTCACACCTGAATGCTTAAAAACAAGAAATGAAAGTTTTGTGACACTTTTATAAATGAACACTTCTGTTTTACTGTTACATTAATTTCAATGCGTAGGCAAAATGTCTTGATGAAAATGCATTTCATCAAGACAATTGACAATTGAAAGCCCAGTCTATCAGTGATGATAAGAAGGGCAACATTTTAAAGAATGTTGCTTTGCTTCGGTAAAAAAAAAAAAAACAATGACAATCTAGAAATCTGAGTTTTAAACTCCGGTAATACCCACAACCTGAGCACAAATGTTTGACACTAATTTTGTCTTATTTGAAGAAAGTGGGGGGTGCTGGTTGACTTTTTGACTTTTAACCTTTCATTAATGTCATCAGAGCCAAAGCAGCACAAACGAACATTTTTGCTGCACAAACGTTTGACACCAATTTTGTCTGATTTGAAGGAGGTGGGGAGGCAACTTCACTCAGATCAAATACGTGTCAAGTTTAATGCAACAGTTACATTTTGATTTTCTGAGATGAACACTGTTTAAAACGTTATTTCTTTTCACCAACAGATCTTTCACCTGTGTCAGCCAATATCAATGAAAGCAAAGATTTTGTTTGCTTTTTCTGAGTTTTTTCCTAGGTAGTTGCTTAATCATTGGTTTCTTCATATGTAACGTTGCACCGCAGACATAACTTTGGTTCAGCACCATTACAACATCTCTTAGAAAAAAATTGTTTTAAGCAATAGACGTCTGCCTTGGCCTTGGTTTCACTCAGGCTAGCAGTTAGCTTCAGTCTAATCTAATCTTTATGCTACATCAAGATGCCTTGTCAGGGACATAGGAGAAGATGTTGACTTCTTATGAACTTTTGAAGAAATGTGCAGCTTTTCAAACATTTAAAATAAAATGTGTTTGGCTCACAGGCCCGTCTCCCTCTGAAGTGGATGTCTCCTGAGTCGATCTTTGACAAAGTGTTCACCACACAGAGCGACGTGTGGTCCTACGGCATCCTGCTGTGGGAGATCTTCTCTTTGGGTAAGATGCCTATGGCTGTGCAAATCCACAGCTCTTTCTGTTGAGTTGTGATCGCAGGATGTATTTTGAGGTTGTTCTTAATGTGTGCGTTTTTGTCCAAAAGGAGCCTCTCCTTACCCCGGTCTTCAGATTGATGAGGAGTTTTGCCACCGGCTGAAGAGCGGAACGAGGATGCGAGCGCCAGATTACAGCACGCCTGAAATGTTTGTAATTCTTACTATGCAACCATCAATAAAAACTAAAGGATGAGTGATTTGAATTACTATAACATAGTTATTTCACATTTCTGAGATCAAAATAAGTTTTTCTACATATTTATTTTGCCAGAGTTGAATTTTGAAGTGAAAATCAATCAAAACACAAATGGAAATATTTAAAACTCTAATTACAAGATGAGTTTTATGGTTCTAATGAAAAAATAGTTTTCCATGGATTGTTGACAAGGGTATAAATTTTAACATTATAATTTAAAAATAATGTAGAAAATGTAGAAAAAACTGATCATATTTTATAATATCTTTTGTGAGAAGCTGGTTTCATTTCCTATCAGAATTTTCATCTGATAGGAAATATTTTAGTTCGATATTGTAATATTGAATTAAATATTGATCAGACAGGGGTAAGAATAATTTTGCACACTTATGTCAGGTTTCTGCAAACCTGAGATAAGTTTGCAGGAGGCTGAACATTTTTTCAGGTTCAGTTTAGCAGATCTGATAATAAAACTCAATACTGAAACCGCAACAAAAAAGTTATTCCAGCATTAATTTTTTTAATTTTATTCCACGAAAACATTTGTTTATTTTACTGTTGAACGATTAAAGAGTAATTTTTTTTAACATATTGACACCTGGCATTTTAAAAGCATTTTAACAGAACTTTATCATTATTTTATTGTACTTCAGAGATTTCTTCCTCTAAAAAAATTTCGAACATTAATCTAAGGTTAACATGTTAGCTGCTTTACTTCTAACGGCGTCCTCGTTTAGGCACAACTCAGAATCTAAATGTTTAACATGAGCAACAAAACAGATTTACAGCACAATTAGCGAACCATGTGTGTAAAAGGAAAAGTGTGTTCTTGTGCGCAGCTACAGCACAATGTTGGCGTGTTGGGAGGCAAATCCTTCAGAGCGACCCACCTTCACCAACCTGGTGGAGATACTCGGAGACCTGCTCCAAGCCAGAGTCCAGGAGGTCAAGCATAAAACATTTTCAGCCTTTTTCTTTTCTGTTGCAAACTCCTCCAAACATTTCTAAAGTTTGACAAATATCCTGTTCTCCAGCAGGATGGGAAAGACTACATTCCTCTGGGGACTTTTGTGAATGGAGATCGCGGTGAGGCCTTTAGGGAAAACTCAAATGCAGTCACAAACCTGAGGTAAGCTAATGTGGTGAAAATGTGAGCTTCTGCTTGGGACATGTACAAGCATAAAAATGCCAGAAATGCAGATGAAATGTTGAAAAGATAAAAATCCAGAAAGGGAAGTAAAGTGAAGGAAGTGGCTGTGAGATAAAACAAAAAAACAAAAAAAAGAAGAAGAAAAACAGATGTTGGGAAAGTAGAGAAAAATTCAAACCCTGTTTTGACCTCAAACCTCCAATTTCTCCAGCTACATGAGGGGCATGGCCACACTTCAGACTTTTGAGGAATTCCCATGTGAGGAGCAAGACAGCCGTGATGTAAGACAACACTTTCACATTTGCTCAAGGTATTTCCTGAAAACACAGAAACCGGTCTGATGAGCTGCATGTTTGGATCTGTTCGGTTTAGGAGGAGCAGAGCGACAGCGGGATGGTCCTTCCTTCAGAGGAGCTGAAGCAAATGATGGCGAGCAACACCAAGAACAAGACACTCAGCAGGTTCACGTCGCAAAAAGCACCTGCACACCTTTTTACGTATATAAAGTAAACAGAGTCCAGCTGTGTGTGATTTAAATCCAGAAAATGTACAATCATTCTGTGAAAACATTAGAGAACAATAGTGAACAAACAGCATCACAAAGATGGGAAGGAAGACGGAGCTAAATGCAGCGCAAACAACCCAAAACATTCAGCCTGAGGTACAATTAAATGGTTTGGAGCAAAGAAAATGTGGACCTTAGAATGGCCTAGTCAAAGTTCAGCGCTATATTCAATTGGTAGAATGTGGTAAGATTTGAAAATTGCAAATTTTGCAAAGAAGGATGAGTAAAGATTTGAGTCGCTACAAGCAGAAAGTTGGTGGAGAGAAACCCCAAAAGAGTTGCGGCTGTAAACTCAGTGAAAGTGGTAAAAAGTCTTTAATTCAGAAGGTTGGATACAAATGAAATGTGGTCTCCTTAGTGATAATGTACATTGTATTGGTATATTACTAAATAATTCAATAAGATATATTCCTGTTGAAGGAACAGGTCACAGATTAAGCGCACAAGAAAATTCAAACTCGCATAACATTGACACACATAAAGTCATCAATATATGTGTGTGTTTTCTTTAGGTTCTTCTTGTTTTCCAAGTGTAGAGACAACCATCCATCCATCCTGCGCAGCGACGTCTCCGGACTCCGTGAAGACGAGCCCGCCATCTTGCCCGCTGACTGGGAGTCGGACGAGGGCTGCTCTCCCCCTCCAGACTACAACTCTGCCTTTCTCTACCCTTCCCTTTAGCTTCTCGCTCCCGGATGTGTAATCCTCCAACAGAGTTCCCGCATCGATAACCAGCCATCCAAAAACTTGCTCTGCTTCCACACTTTGCTGTTTGCGTCCTCTACCTCATAGTAGCGCCTTGCTGGTATTCCCATAGCGTCCTCTTCTTTACGGCTAAAAAATAAAATCTAGAGCAAGCTTTTTATAACCAGAAACAATGAAAAAAAAAAATCTCCACAAGTATGAAGTGTCACACCAGTTGTTTTCTCTAAGAGCAGCTAATCTTCCAGATCTCACATAGAGCTTATTGTATTGGTACCTCCTGCTTTGTGAAGAGGAGCTTTGCTGTAATAAATAACAGTTCCTCTTGCACAACTGCTATATGCTGGAAAAAATATATGTTATTGTGTTCATATTAGACAGAACGGATATCTGTATTTATTTCTACTTTGTAGAAAGCATGTAAGCATTTAAGCATTAAGCATTTATGAGTGTATTTTTATTTAATCCAGAATTTACACTGGATTATGTTAATGTGCCTCTATATCTATCAGTTCAACACTAAACTCTACGTTCAGTGAGGTCAGAAACTGGAATTCAGATCATTTTTGATCTGAAACAGTCACCATGACATTTGATTCATTTCAGCAAAGTGCCACGAATAAACTGCCAACTGAGAGAGAAATTATGATTAAGAAAGATTATAAAAATGCTATTAGTTGTTGTAAAAAATCAAATGTCTCACATGTTTTTATAGCTCCATTCTCAGATATTAAATAAATGTATAGAATGCCATTCTTTTCAGCTTGTTGTTTTAATTTTCTACTGCAGTCAGTAAGATATGAACATTCATGTCTTATCAATTGGGGGATTTTCATAACGTAGTTTGGCTATAAATCTCCCAGTTTTGAGATTTGTACAAGGATATGAAGTACATGTTTAGATTTATGCTGGATTTTCTGCTGATATGTGGCTAAAAATCCATGTTGTTCCATATTGATCCCCGAGCTTCTGGTCTAATTCTGGCTCGATATTTGATTGCTCTTCCTATCAAGAACGTCAGAGCCTGTTTAAAGTGGTTAGTTTCCTGACTTTGCTTTTCAGCCGAGTATCCAAAAATGAATTGTGCTTGTGGTCATGGTGTAGGAAAAGAACACATTCAAAGCGGCTAACATAAGCCTGATTCATGAACTTTATAACCACATTTGATTAATCAGATGAATCTGTCAAACCGTTCGGGGGGGGTGGAGTATTTCATAACAGTGGAGCATTAAACAAAAGTGGTTCTGAACTGGATAAAACATGCTAACATTTTACTGTCTGTTACTCTTGAAATGTCTGTCAGGAATTCAACCAATTGAAAGAAGCGCATTTGTTTGGGATAAGAATTAAAATGCTAGTTATCTATAAGTTGATCTTCTTATTTAAAAGCATGAATGTAATATTTTAACCCTGAGAAGCCACAAGACATTCAAACCTTTGCACAAAGTTCTTCAATAAATCATTTCAAGTTGTTTGAAGTAACAATATTGCACATCAATATTACATTTAGTATTGGTTTTATGAATTTTCCCTATTTGAACCTGGATTTATTTTTAAAGTATCTACCTTTCATGGAGGTAGAGTCACGTTTGCCTTTGTGTTACATCATTTTTTTATTTGATAGATTTTGTTGTCTGACTTACTTTCAGTGTCAGTTTGTGTGAATTGTTTCAGGAGTGTTCAGGTCTGCATTGCAGATCAGTCTGTTTGACTACATAGTTGGAAACTATATTATTGTATCACGCAGAATTATTGGGGTTTTTTTTTCCTCCCCTAAAGTCCCTGATCTAAAACCTCCATACTGTGTTATGCTCAGCAATAAAGTTGCCTAAATAAATAATTAACTGGGATTTTGTCCAGTTAATAAACAATATATGAAGGTTCAAAACATTATCTCTCTTCTAAACTGGTGCGTTTATGTTGCACAAGAAATTATTTTCCAACTTGTGACTTATTACATAAAAAAAGTATCGGTACAAAATATGTCATTTGTAAAAATGTATCCAACTGCAACTCCCAAATTACCTTTGAAAGTCAAATAATTACAAACTGAATTTATCACCTGAATGCGTCTCACCCATCTGTAGTTTGCACACAGACAAGTTTTAGTTTTGACTTATCAGATGGTGTGAGAAAAGTGGCAACATCCATGTTGGGTCATAAGACCCAACATGCTGCAGCTGCAGCACAAACGGTGTGAGGACAATAGCAGTACTTCTAAAATACTAAGAGCCTTAAAAACAAGTTTATAATTTTAAACAGAGGGTGTGTCTTCTGCAAAATATTTATTCTACAAAACGTGGTTGCTGTTGAGCAAAATAGAAAAGGTTACTTATTCAGACAGACAAGACTGCAGTTAATTTAAATTTAAAACAGCCCCTTCTATGCAGAAATGTTTTTTTTATTATAAAACCCATCAAGTCCTTTAAGAGAATATTTTCCACCTGACAAGAGCTGGAAAAATAGTCATTTTACACCTTTAAAACTGTTTCCTACACCTGCTCCTATAAAAACAGCATTATTTCATCATCACACTGTGCTTATTCACATTAAATCACATAACTACACACTCTTGAGCTCTTTTGAAAAATCAGAAAAGTGTGGCGTGCCATTCCTTTCACCTCCATTAAATCTGATTACCAGAATTGAAATCCATTACAGCCAATTTCCTCTAGAAGACAATTAATTAGTCTACCTTTAAATACTTTAACCTCCTGGATTAATAACCTGAGTATTAATCCGGGTATTCTGTGAAGGCCTCAGAGGTTTAAACATGGTTTAAACAACAAAATGTCTAAAAGGAACCAGCAGAAAAAACAGAAGAGCTCTGCGATCAGCATCAGTTTTGGTATTCTTTATTAAAATACTGCTGTACACACAAATATTGCAAAAAATTTGGGACAGGAACACAAGAGGAGCATAAAACATACTAGGATGGTGACTGTAGGTGTGTTGCTGTGGGGGGAACAGGGAGGTTGACCCTAAAGGTAAATGGAGTGTGGTATAATGTGGAGTACAGTGATTAAACACTGACATCAGGTTGGCTGATAAGCATGTGTGAGGGATTTCTAAAGCACCACATTCACCAAATTTGTTTTATTCTTTTCCGTTCATTGATTTCACTAAAACAGAGGGAAGTAGTTCATGATCCAACACAGCTCCCTGCGCATATGTTGCCCCCAAGGACAGATCATTTCAAATTTTCCTTAATGCTTAGAGAAAATGACAGCAATAGATAGTTTGGTAGCGTAATTTATGTTCGTTGACTATCATGTAATAAGAAAACGGTGTAGAAAAATCGAATCATTGGTCTTAAATGAGACTTTCAACGTTTTTTCACCTCCCAATTAAAGTAAAATGAAAACAGACCTGCGCTTCGGGGCAACATGAACCACCTGACAGCATGATCCCGACATTCAACAAAACTTTGAACAACCTAAAACCTCCATCTGAAGACGTCCCGCCCAATGACAGCCAAAGACATTCAATCATCGGGGCTGGGAGGGAGAGAGGGGGCTCCGGCCGCTTGTCATCCTGAGAGAAAATCCGAGTGCGAAAACTGCATCTCCAGCCTGTTCGTATCTCATGATCCTAAAAAAGTCAAACAAAACTAAAAGTCGGTGTTCCCCCCCGACACCCCAGTTCTCCTTCGCCTCCTTTCACCTAAAACCCCAGCTGGAATTGGTCCACAGAGTATTAAAGAGCAACAGTGAGGCGAAACCTGATTGGCCTCCTGTGCAATCTTGCACAACAGCTGAGCAGAGAGGAAAAGCAGCTGGTTAAAAAGTCACAAAGTATCAATTTTCTTCCAAAAGGTAGACACCCCACCCCGCCCCCCACCCGAGTGAAGTTTGGGATTATAGCACAAAAAATAAGGAAGATAAAGACAGAGACCAGGGACACTGGGGGGTGAGGAGACCAAAGGAGGGGGACAAATTAAGGACATTCCACGAAGAGGCAGCTGTGGCTCGCTGACCCGAAACAACCACAGCAGATTCCGATAACCACAAAATGGCTGCTGCATATGTAACATTTGAGCCTCAGGAGAAGACGCTTCTTCCTCAGATCCTGGTCCCGAGCCAACCTACGTCCGCCCACCCACCCACCCACTCACCCACCCGCGAGTATGAGCCTCACGTTCTGCTGTAGAAAAACATCTGAAATCCATCCCCCCTCCAACCCTCATTTCGCAACCCTTCCCAGCTTCCCAAGTGGTTAGTCCTTTCAAACAGGGAACCAGCAGTCGAGGCTGAGCTGGACTGGCCCGTCGCAGCGGAAGCCTCAAGTGAAGCGTCCCGTCTCTGAGTGCGTCAGAATGAAGGGGTGTGGTCTCCAACCGGCAGAGAGGGAAGTTTCCGTGTCCGTGTGTGTGACCTTCAGCTCTCTGTGCACCCAGTAGGCCACTCACAATTTCATAAAAATAACAAAAATTAAAATCTTAGTGCATCCTTCTCCACAAGAAGAAAAAAACAAAAAGACAAAACATAGAAATAAACAATAAAAGCAGGAAAAAAATGTTTCTCGTTTTGTTCCCCAAATTTTTTTTAAAAAATGTCATTCATCACAGCTTCCATGTTAGTCTTATTTTCCTCTTTTTTGTGTGTGTGTTTTTCAATTTTCAGCCACAAAAAAAATATATATATGCTTTACAAAAATGGTTCCTGGTGGACAGGAATCAGTGTATGTGACTGAGGTTCACGAAGCCCCGCCTCGCTGCCTTCACTGTGCTGATGTCTGAGAGCCTGGTCCTCCGCTGTAGTGCAATGGTGCGCTCCAGGTCTGGGCCCGATAGGGGGCGCTACAGAGAGCCAGCGGCTGCAGCCTGCAGCTCCTGGAAGGTGCTGTCGAAGCAGCGCTTCAGGTCCGAATAGGTGACCACCAGGACGCTCTTCTCATCCCGGGACACCAAGCTGATCTTCTCAGGAACACCCGCGTCCAGCTGGACACACAGACACACGCGCGCACACACGCTAAGTAACAGCAAACATGACAGGAGCAGACACGTGCTCCTGTCAGGGATTGAACAGATGCGTGCAGAACATTCGGTGAGAACCCATGAGTATGTCTATGTTCAGACAAACATTGACCTGCAGGTGTCATTTTGTCAAGTGCATTAAGTATTTGACGTAAACAGCCAGAGATACGGTTATAAAAGAGGATCTTGTGGTAAAGCTCCATTTTATATTTCAGAATTTAGAAGTGGCCATTTATGAGCATAACTGAACAAGCCAAGCTTCACGCACTTGTTCACAATGTAGGACCAAAGAAATAAAACGACAAATTTTGTGATATTCTCAAAGAAAATCAAGAAAAAATAGTGTTCAACTAAAAAGTCATTTTTTTCCAGTCTTCTGCTCCTGCTTGAAGGCCTCAATTGCATTTCTTATTAATTGGAAACATGGCAACTATAAAATTGTATTTTTTCAACACAAGCAGAATATTTTTTTCCGCTCTTGAATTCATGTTTTGGGTTTAGCATCAGTATCATCTGTACACTGAAGCCTTAAAGTGTGCACAAAGCCAATTTTTGTAAAGCTAAGTGTCAAAATGTCATGAGTATACATTTATTTTTACACACTATACAAAAACGCACCATCTTAAAATAAATTTAAAAAAAGACCTGAAGCGACTCGTTCTATTATTGTGTCAAGATTGTTTAGTTTAATTTATAGCAAGTCTTTCTCACCATTGAGAAAAGAGAAGTCTCAAGTCTGGTTTGGCCTTTTTGTTTTATTTTTTGAACGTCTTAGAGACGAGAACTTAAATCTTATTTTGTTTTGTCATATAAGGAAAATACTTCAAGCTTATTTTGGAGCGATAACTACTGTTTTCCTCGTCATTTCAAGATTAAAGAGCTGGAGAAAAAAAAAACATTCTACCAGTTCATTATTAATGGAATCTAAATTTATGTGACTAAATTGAAATCTGACTGAATTACAAAGGCGAAGTTTTCACTGACTTTGTTGAGACAGGAGACAATATGACTGAGGTCAATCCACGGCGTTCCCGCCTCCGTCACCTGGTGGAACAGGTGATCCCGGAAAAGCTTCAGCAAGTAGCGGTCGCCGGTCTCCGACCACGCCGGGTCCTTCTGAAACCTGATGACACAGCACAAGATTACGGAGCAGAAAAAAAACAGACAGCAGGAGGTTCAGCCCCACCCAGAAAGAGGTCATGATCCTTACTCTGGCCGCTCGTTGATGGTTCCCAGTTTGGCAAGCAGGCGGAAAAGGCGACCATTTTGCACCTCCTGCAAACCAAAACCAGACATACTCTGTTAGTCGACAACGTTACTGACAATTATTGAATGTCGAGTTTTAACATAAACAAAATCTTTGAAAATTGTTAAACAAAAACGATGTTGATAAAAATGGAGAACTCCAGTGAACTAATTAGATTGTCTTCTGGTTCAACACATTTGACTGTATGCCCCTAAAAATAGGAACTACTCCACATTTACAAGTAAATTATACTTTTACTTGTGGTCGCAAAGTGAGTAATGCTGGAGCACCAAGTGAGGAATAACCGCACAAAGAGAGAACAACATATAAATACATATTTGTGGTCTTCATGAAGAAAGTACGTGAAGGTTGCAAAAAACTGAAATGTTCCCAGAAGCTGAAAGTCCTATCGTTTGACTTTTTGTCCAAACAAGGTGTAAAGCGCTTGTTTCTTGCAGCTCCCACAAGATACTTCCTTTTTACTAAAAACAGAGCATAAGCCACCGCAACATACTTAATCATTCATGCAGCCTCATTTCAAAACCCAGAAAACAAACAGAATGACAGAGCAGGTTTGATGCAGGTTAATAATGCAGAACGAAAACCGCGTTTTTTCTTAATGCTCAGCTTGAGTTTCTATCGGTGCAGATCCGGGCCTTCATAAGCTTTAAGTTTTAAAATCAAAGGTTAGGACTGAGAATGCTAACAAGAAGCTGACACCATCATGTTTCACTTTGAGGATAGTGTGGATGTAGGATGAGAAGCACTGATGTGTTCATGTCGAGTTCAAAAGGTTAAATTTCATCTGGTTACTTTTTTTTATCTAAAAATCCAATTTGTGGAATACAAGATTTTTGTACTTTTTCACCCTGCTTAGTGGTGTGATATCACATTAAGAAAGATTAAGTTTAAGATTAAGTTTTTTGTTGTTATAAAGTCATAAAAAGCTAAAATATTTAGTGGTTATGAGTAGTTTTATAAAGCACAGGTGCAATAAATTACTATTATTTTCAAAACTAAGTTGCCTGAAAACTTCATGACATAATGTTACATTATGTCATGCAATTTACAGATCTGAAACTAAAATAAATACAGGAAATGCAGGTATTAGATCAATGGTCCCAATTAGCTAATAAGTTCTAAGAATTATGCAAACTTTCGTGTTGCTTGTTTTTAAAAGTTTCTCAAAAACGACCAACCTTAAAAACTGCTACAGTCCCAACCGCGGCTTCAAGAGTGACACAACAGCAGTGTTGCAATGCCCCACAAAACACAATTTGTAAAAGAACAGAAGTAGAGAGAGGCATATGAACCCCAGGGAATCGTTTGTATTGATGCATGCAAGCAATCTACAACTTCCATGGATATGTACGGAGCCGCGTGTTAATGTTTCACGTTACAGCTCTTGACTGTTTTGAGTCTTTCTTAATTATGCCAGAGCAGTTTTAAACAAAATGTATCACCTCTGAAAACTAAGTGGAAAGAAACCTAGATGTGCAAAAAATATTTGCTGCCATGATTAAAAACTTATTTTTCCATCACAAAAGTTTTTTATCCAAGACACAAGACATATATGTGGCATATGAAGAGGTTTTTCAAAGGAGCTATGGCTTTCATCTATTGGGCGATTTGAACCATTTGGAGCGTAAACCAGACACGCCTCAAAACGCGTTTGGTGTGAACACACGTCGAACTTGAAGCATCAGACGTGTAACATGTTTGGTGCGAGCAGGCCAAGTGTCCCCTCAGCTGAACTGAGCAGTAAAACTGAGAGCTACATGAGCAACATCTTAACTTTAATGCTAATTTGCATAAATTTCCATTTTCATGTTTGAAAACTTGGTTATTTTCCCTTCAAACAATGTTTTTGCTCTTTTTTCATTGGACTGAATCAATTGATCCAGACTGTGAGGTTTACTAAAGCTTAAAGCTCCAAAGCAAATTAAAATCCTGCTGTGATGTAAATTCAGAATTGCTAATAAATTAGAAAATGACTTATCTCCTCCTCTCTGCAAGAGTTGCATTCATCAAAACAATACACTTCTGATGTTTTCAACACCAAAGACCTTTGTTAACAAAAGCCCTCCCAAGGCAAATAAACAGTTCACCGAGTTTCATAGGAGGAGACATTGAGATAACAAAGTTGAGCCGATAAACAGGAAACCCTCCCCACCGTCATAGAAACCAGCATCTAACAAGCAGGTTTCAGCAGTAACAGCTTCAACAGATTACATAGATTACATACACAAAGAGGGGTGCTTACATGTGCAAAACTCTACATAACTGTTTAATAAATCTGACAACAACATGGTTAAAACAAAGCCATAACCCAAAATGCACAAATGTAGGTTAGAGTACACAAAGAAGCTGGGTTGACGAATTAAACCAGAGTCCAGGAAGGGAAGAGGAACTTGAGGCATGAAGGGGGCGAAACATGCAAAAGTTTCAAGGCAGACATTTCACACATTCCTACTAATAAGAGGAAACTAAGATAGCAAAAAAACGTCAAAACGTTTTAATAAACTGTACAACATCCTGTATTCAAACAGCTTCCTTCTTTACTTATTAAGCCATTTCCTTGCATAGCGAATATCATCTATCCACCAAGTTTTACGTTACCTTTGCAAGGTCCTCTTCTATGACATCATTTCTCATCTGCGATGCATCGAGTTGCGTGTAGAATCGTGCTCCAATCATGGGCATGATGTCATTGACGCTGCGCAGCCGAGATTGATCAGTCAGCAGGTACCTGCGATCATAGGAATGCCGTTACCTTGAAAATTAGGCGAGCTCTCTTCTCTGAATATTTTAATTTACATATATAAAACATTATTTTTACGCATTCGTGTGGTGAGCCATTACTCAGTTACAAAGACATCTGGTACCTCAAACAAAACATGGCAAAATGAAAATTAGGAGGCATTTCACTGTAACAGTCCAATACAAAGGGTTTTTATGATTTGTTTTAATATTCCTGTAAGATAGAGAAAATAAACGTTGACCTTAATGCACTTTGTAATTAGGAAAAATTTATGTGAACATATTGTTCTCTTCTTCAAAATGCAGAAGAACAGAATGTGACACTTGGGTTTCTACAACTCCCACAGCGTTACGCATCACGCCTATACATTTTAGTGAAGTCTTTCTACAATAACCACTTCATATTGTGACTTTATTCAGATTCAGTCGTTGCAGACTTAAAGTTCTTAACTTTTAAGTGAGCCATGATTTACCTGCTTTGTTTTATCCTTAAAGTTGCTGTTTGAGAAGAAGACCAGACATTTCTTTTTTCAAAACAAAGTGATTTGTAAAGGTTATTTTCTTAAGTAGAAATCTGGAAGCTGTGGTGGGCATTTGCTTTAGCAGCAGGTCAAAGAGTTTTGCGTTACGTCTCCGCCAGATGTTTACAGACTGAAACTGTGGCTAATCTTTAATTTCCTGAGGGAGTCTTCCCAAGGAATCAATAAAGTTCAAGTCTAAGTCTAATTCGTCTTTCCAAAATGGCCCAATCTGACGAGGATAGCATGAATAGCATTTGTTACATCAATTTCTATTCTGCAACAGAATCTCAGTTGTAGTGAAGTCACGACTTTGACTGAGCCATTCTTATCCTTTGACCTGAAGTTTTTCATAGTAGCTCCAGGCTTGTATTTAGGGTAGTTTCTTGTTAGAAAGTGAATCCCCAGGCGAACTCTGGTGTTTTTTGCTTTTTCCTTCTAGGGTAGAAGCTCAAAAAAGAAGACTATATATGACTAAAAACTTTTCTTTAGATTCAATAGTCAATAGAATGGTTCATTTATGAAAGTATGACAAAGGTTTCAGTTTCCTGAGCCTTTTTGGATGAGAGATTCTCTGCTTTCAGTCATGGGTTCTCCTGGAAACCCAAACATGAAAACTGTACAAAAATATTGCATCTTAGAAATATTTGTATTTTTATTCCAACAGATTTCTATGCTTTATTTTTTCCTGCAGTGGTAATTATTTGAAAGCATCTCTAAAAATGTTTTCTTGTGACCTGCAGTATTCAGGTACACCCTCTTACAGAATAAGGTTCTTGAGGTCTGAAGAGTAGTTTATAGAAACCAGCTCCATGGCCTTCTGCAGGTTCTCCCTCTGGATTCCAGCCAGCGAATTACAGGCCAAAGCCAGCACCACCTTGCCCAGAGAAACTAGATCTGCTTGCTGCATGGCAAAGACACACAAATAAATCGACGTTGGTACAGAGTGACACTTAAATTCTTCAACACAAAATACGGATGTTGGGTATATCGCGGGGTAAACTCAGTTATTGCATAAGTACCTGGTACTGCGGCATCAGGGCAAGATGATTGGTCTGACTGTTGTCAAACGTTAAGACATCAAACACCCCAACACAGTTCACCCGTAACCTTCAGATGAGAGACCTTCATTAGTTTGATTGACACGACTCGATGGTAAAAAATAAGGAAGTCAAAAGTAAGCATCTCTGTTAAGCATATTGCTGACTTTGAATTATATAACTGGTGCGGCAAAATGGGTTAAAAGCCATTTGAAATGAGCAGAACCAGGCTTTAATAATAGCACAGGGGGACGTTTGATGTGGACAAAAACTATCTATACCTGGTTTTACCAGTGATGAGTATCTTGCTGGGGTCCATGACCCGACAGGCAAGACCAGCCGTGTGGATGGTCCGCAAGGCCGAGCTTAACTGGACAATGTAGGCCCAGATCAGCGACTCTGGCAGAAGGCCTGCATGCTGCCGCGGCGGCGGAGGTTCGTGTTGCCCTGCACAAGTTCAAAAAAAACAAAACCAAAAAAACTGCTTTATCACACAGAAGCAGGTTTTTGAGGTAGATATTTCTGATGAACAAAACCTCAAACTGACAGCTCCCTCACTTATTCTCAACAGATCTGTCTGGCACATGCAATATCAGCGGCATCAGAAAAACACAGACTTACTTGCAAACAGCCACCAGTTCAGCCAAGTGTGAACAAATGTAGACATATTTAACAGATAGATTAGGATTTATTTTATTTCCTATCAATAGAAAGTTTTTCTTTCAAATCTAGCCAGCAGCTGTGTGCAATGGCAGCAGCTGAGAAACCAAAAGGGAGTGAACTGTAAGAAATATCACAGTGAGATGCATAAGGCTGAAAGGGAGTTGGGCAGTTTTACACTTCATGCTGGGAGTTATTTTTAACATTTTCTCAGTGTGTTTGTTCCCTGCATAGAGGTTTCTTATCAGTTTTTGCTGCAGACTAGATCTATGTGAGTGTGGTTTTGCTTCCTCCCATCAGTCATTCCTGTAGGCAGTCTGATCAACAGCGCCTGACTGGGATCACTTTCAACCACAGTTTCCTCCAGATCCACAAGTCTTCTTTACAAGAAACTTGGCAGCCAACTGTCAAACTGGAACTACAAACATCTCCCTCAAAGAGATCGTTCGGGTTTCATGACAAAACTCCATTTATTATCAGTGACAGTCCCCTTACCTGTGGTAAAGAGAAGCGCTAGCTGCAATATGCTACTGAAAATGTGAAGCCAGACCTCATAGTGGTGGATGGCTAGCAGCTCTTTAGACCGCAACATTTTTTATAATTTCCTCAGAATGAAACAACTACGCAAGATTAAGATTACAAACTTCGATTATATATTCACTGAGTCTTTTGGGGGGTTTTTTCTGTACATCTCAAACACAGAAATGTGCCATCTCACACAGTCAATAAACAAAAGTGATGTGCAACCAAATATATGAAAAACAAGGCTCAGATTGTCTTTTGTGCGTTAGATTATTACACTAATTTATTATAACTATAATGAAGCCTCCATTAATCTTTCTGTCATGACAGATTATGAATAAACTGTGGACATTGAGAGAAGTGGAAATATTCCAAGAGATCAAAATTATTATTACAATGTGCATCTATTGCACTAGAAAATAATCAAATTATTACTACAAAGTAATCCATCTAATCCTTGTGCTTTGCACACATTAATATAGCAATGACGTGTGCAATTTGAGATATGTTGCACCTCTAATGACTTAAATTAGAACAAGAAGAGACGTAACACTGTGTGCAACAGAAATCAGTGTTACCAAGTTGCTTAACTAACATTACAAAGCATCCTAAATTAGCATAAGATCACCTTTTCTGTTTATTGTCTTTTCAGTAAGTAGATCTTTACCTTAAAAATCACCACTTCTGAGTCAAGACAAACATAATTAGATCTTAAAAAGCATGCAACAGTGTTATTTTGATGTAACATCCAAACTTCTGACATCTCAAGAACATGAACGCCAATACGCTGTTATAGAGTCGCTTCTTTCTGGAGCGCCTGAGAACAGCCAACATGTCTTTCATTCAGTAACAACAGCCACACTGAACAGAATTGCTGTCTTGCATATTTCCTGTCAGCTGCCTTGTCCAAATCGTTTAAGAGAAAATAGTGGCAGCGGATAATGCAGTCAGGAGCCTTAATCAACCTGATTTAGCAGAGCTGCACAGCCATTCTTTAGCTGAGTAAACACCTTCAAAGATAACTGTTTTGGTTTTTTTTTTTTTTTGGTGGGGGGCACAAATTAATCTAAAATATATCTATGACATCTATCCACCAGAGATAAAAACTTCACATCTAAACTGTCCCTTTAAGATGAAAATGACACCACATTTCCTGTGATTCAGTACATATAATCCATAAAACATTACATACATGTGTGATATGAGCTGGTCTAGATGCAACACCTCCAAGAAAAACACATCTAAATAGATGCATGGCAATTACCTCATTATCAAACAAGTCAACAAAAGCTGAATGTGTGAAGCTGAGCAATGATGAGTGACGCCTGAGGTGAAGCTGATTCTATTTCGGAGCAAAGAGAAAATATATATATATATATTTAAAAAAAACAAAAAAAACTCACCCCACTTCCTCTTTGTGAAGTATGAGTCTGCCGCTGGGTCATTAAAATGCCTGCTGAACATCGTTTCTGCACCTGCATGGAAGTCGTATGAGAAGACCAATGCTGGGGAGACAAAAAGAAAAGTGGGGAGCACAAAAGTAAGAAGCCAATAATAAAAACAGAACTAGAGAAATAAAGTTCTTCAGCTGACCTGAAAACACATAACCGCTGAATTTTACAACAGAGCTCCACATTTATGACCACAATCAACATCAGCCTGAAACACGTTCACAAAAACTTTTACAAAAAGGTAAACATACAGACACAAGATGTGTAATCTAAACTAATAACAGCACACACTCACAGTGGTCTCCAAAGGCCTTTGTGGTGAAGACCTCTCGAAGTGTCACCGTGTTCGAGTGCTGAATCTTCTTCCACATGTCTACCAGCATCATACACTTTGTATTAACAAGGCGGAAACCTGGTCGGTTGAAAAACAAGACATTTAACATGTGTGAACTAATGTGTGACAGCACACCTACATGAGGAGAGTTTATTATCGCAAAGAAAGAGAAGAAACTCGAACAGTTTACGGCTTATAGCTTCATGCTTGATATATTGTGGGCACTTTATGAAAAGATTATCATGAGTTACTCATCTTTAAAAAAACAAAAAAAAAAGATCTTGTAAATATTCTGACAGTGCTTCACGTTCTGTGTAAAGTTTACACATTTATTACCCTGTATCCTCCTCAGGCAGTATGGCAGGTCATCCTTGCTGTTGACCGCCTTGTAGCAGGAGGTGATGTAGCTGAAGTTGCTGGTTTTCTGCATGCGATTCGGCGGGGGAAGAGGCTCGAGGGGAAACAGGCTGTGGTAGCTGTCCACTTCAGACGGTACATCTAAAGGAAGCAGTTACCAAAAGAAGTCACGACAATGATTATACAACATACAGACACACAGTAATGCTGAAAGACATTCTCTTGAACGTCACGTTTTGTCACATTAAAATCAGATTTCAATGCATTTCACCCAGACTGTAAGTGATTAGATCAGTACAAAGTGGCACTTATCAAGAAGGTTAAAGGATAATGTTAGATGGTTTTGATTTTTCCGGTTCCAGCTCGAAGGTTTTGACCCTTCGATCGTCGCTCAGATTGTATGTTTAGGGTTGTCGTCCTTCTATCATTCTATCACACCCATCAACCTTTTCGTTAAGGTGGATGGCCATGTATTGCTATGTTTTCAAGATTCATTTAATATTTTTTAAAGATAACTTAAAGAGTTCTTTGAGAAGTTTCAAGCTTAGTTTATTTGTTTATAACCTGACCATGCTATAAACATCCTCTGAATTATGTCTTTCTTCATGCTGTGTTCCGTTTTACTTATAATGTTGTTTGCTCACAGTCAGTTTCCTGCTTTTGGAGCAGTCTCCGGCCCACCTGGCATTTGCAAATGAATTGGAACCACAACATGGTTCACTTAAACTGAACCAAGACTAAGGTATTTAGGTAAACCAGTGTTAGACACTTGGTCCGCATCAGACATCAAATTGTTTAATTATAGTGGACTAAACCAGGTTGGTATGAATGCACCTTAAGTCCATGTCATATTCCTCAGATTTTTACCAGGAATCATTTCAGGAATCTATAAATGTGCCTTTTTGTGTCAGTTTGAATATATACTTCTTTGTGTGGCTCTATCTCATGAAGTCCAAAAAGAAAAATACATCAAGATTTGAGGTCGAAACACGACAAATGTGGAAAAAGTTGAATACTTTTTAAGATGCAGCAAATAGAAATAAAAATCATATTTGAATCATTTAATTGTTAATTGCATATTTTAGAATGTGATGGGGAATGTGATTCATCATGTTTCAGCAACCACCAGCAAAGAGACAGTCTACCTGGGTTCTCTGAGTGGTCGATTTGGGCCATGGTTATCAGGTGCCTGTGAATCAGCTCCTGATTGTTGAAACAAAACGTGGATTTTCACCAAAGATGTCCAACACAAAACAGAAGACAGATGCTGCTTGGTGAAACCGTGAGGTGGACAACTTAGCTATCGATACCTGTCGGAGCTCATCAGCCATGAAGAAGGACGGGGCATTGGCTTTCGGCTGCATGTAAGCCACATGAGGGGCAGTAGGGGGGTAGATATGGAAGGTAGGAAACACCTGCAAGAAACCAAACAGACCAGCTTCCCATTTATCAAGAAATGAAAACCGTGCAGATGATACAAACTTTGTTGGGGTTTTTTTCTATTATGGAACTTTAAGGCGATGTGAAAGGAGGAGGAAACAAAGCTTTGCATTAGTTGTCAAACTGAAAGACTATTAAAAAAAGAACACTTTAAAACCTAGTAGACCATAACTACAGATGCAAGTTTACCATAATCTATATAGAAAAATGACACAAAGTGTCAGAATAAGAAAGTTTGAGACTTTTAATGCATGATGTTGCGTTTTTGAGATTGCTTAAAACTTCAATTGTATTTCAGCGAGCGTCGTGCTTTTCGTACCATCCCCGCCATTGGCACTGGGGTGTTATCTGTGTAGAAGTACGTTGTCCCCCCTACGGTCTCTTTCTGAATGATGTGGGCGCCCTGGTCGGCCGCAGTGGTGGGGACCATGTAGTTGGCAGGGTTCGGGGTGTGACTCCGTCGACGAGGGGCAGGTGAGGTGTGAGGTGTGATCTTTGGGGAGTGCAGAGGAGATGACCCAGCAGACAAAGACATACCTAAAAAAAATAAATAAAAATTATGAAATACTGGCCAAAACAGGTTTAAGGAAGTTAGCATGCAGGTCAAATCATAAAATTACACATGAGCACATCCTACATGGTATTTAAGAGAAATATACCCTCGGCAGTACCTGGAGCCAAAGCAGCTGTGGAGCCTCCGAGACCAGGATGAGCAAAGAGTGGAGAAGGGAAGGGCTGAACTGCAGACTGCGTCATGGCAGCCATTCGCGGAGCGCCCTTAGGGATGAACTCACTTGCAGCGGGGTTAGGAGCCTATTGGCATGAGTCAAATATAGAAAAATTGCATGAACAAAAATAGAGACGATGTGAGGCTCAGGCTCCAAGAACCGCTTCATATAAAAGCACAGCTTCGTTTTCTCACCTTTCTCCTCTGGGAAATGCTAAGAGCACCAAAATCACTGAACAGTGACGAAGTCGAGGAGTTTACTGGATCTGTCAGGGATCAAGATTTACAAGATGAACAGAGGCGCTTTCAATCCCCTCAAGACAAATATTACCTAAGCTATACGTTTTAGACCAGCTTTCATGGCCAAAGTCACAGGCATCCAAGATACCCATAAAGGCTCATTACTGCCAATTTGCAGTAGGAACTCAAAAAAAAAGACAAACTGTTAAACTGCAAGCTGGATATAGAAGATGAGGCAGAAGATTACATCATTATGTCTATTATCAGTTATTCAGAGAAATTTATTTTCGCCTTTTGAAAGGCATAACGAGAGCACTTGCTGGTTTGTTCAGATAAATCTTCAAAGATCAAAACACCAAGCTTTTTTCACTTGTTTTGTTATAACAGTTTCATTATCTCAATATCTTGAAAATACTTATGTGAAGCTATCTTGACGAGAACCAAACTTTTTCTTTATATTCAGATATAAGAACCTCAAGCTTGCCCCAAAGACAATGTACTGCAGAGCTCATTTTGATAAAGGCATCAATTACGATACCAAAATCTCAAACTGGTTTTGTCATTTTCATGTTTACGTTACCTTCTTAAAACTCTTACACACAATTGGTCGAAAAGTATAAACTTATAAAGTCATGCATGTTTCTCCATACCTAAAAATGAGAAAAGTAAATTCCACATATTTCCATACTTTGCAGGAACTTTGTGAGGGAGCCTTACCATGAGTGCTGTGGCTGAAATTCTTGGCACCATCATTGAGAAGACTGGGAGAGCTGCTGCTGGTCGTCATTCGCTAAAAACAAAAACAATTGTCACAACAACGACAAATATTTATATAACTCACATTTATGAGTATTGTGAATCCAAAACTCACCTACAATACATGCAAAACACTTAATTGTAACTCTGTGTTATGCAATATTTCTGTTGTAACGTACATATGTAAAACTTTTTAAGAATTGAGGTAAACCTGTTTTAGTTGTTTACTATAGCAACGATCTATAGTTAAGATTTTGTATCACACTGTCATGTAAAAAAATACAAACATATATTTTCATACTTTTCTAAAGTTAAACAAAACCATTAGGCATTTCTAGCAAACCCTTAAAATTGAATAAATGAAACATAAAACCTCTTTATTTTAATGACATAACGGCTATTGTATTGAATTTGTATAAAATTTCAACTGAAGTGAATGATGTTGTTCACATGCACAAGTATATTTTTTTAGGTTGTTTTATTCAGCCACACATTTTTTTTAACCTGCTGCCTTTACGTTTCACTTCCATTTCTATTCTAAAATCAGGAGCTGACAAGAACACGAAAAGTTTAGAAAACATTTCTGTGAAATTGTTAAAGAGGAATTCTGACCCAATTCTCATTACTTCATTGTTTTGATATTAAATATCACCAAGGGATAAAGTCTTGTGGTCTGGTGAGACATTTTCTTTTTTTCTCAGCTATCATTTTTAAAAACAAACAACACTTTTATATTACTTTCTTTTCTTTCTTTTTTTTTTATTTAACATACCTGCTGAGTAGCATGCGAGATGCAGATGTTGTGTTTTCTTTATGGCAACCTCTCTTACAAGTATTTTTCAGTTTTCCCCAAAGCAAAATTATTAACTTCAATTGCCCTGGGAAAAACATTATGTTATGAGAGTGCATCAATTATTTGCTTAAGGAACCTCCCTGATCTCATTAGTCCTTTAGTTAAGACACACCTAAAAGCAACTAACTGCAACATAATTGCTATAGGAATCATGCGGGTGTGTCTGCTTTTAGTAAGCTTGTTTTTAGCCTTAGTTCAATAATCATGATGTCTCATGTTTTGCCTTTCAAAAGCATAATACCCATTAAAAAAATTTTACACTTACTGCTTTCATGATCTAGGCCTTCATATTTGGTTGGGATTTTTTGTGATGGATCATCACAAATTGTGACGCAGAAGGAAAATTACAATTGATTTTTATTTTTTAATTGAAACTGAAAAGTGTGGATGTTCTGGTTTGGGCACCTTGACTGTAAGAGCATAATGTTTTAGATTCTCATCTCAAAGAAAACCAAATACATCTTCAGTGTAAACTTGTTGACTTAAACTCGTTGACTGTTAGACTCAAGATTCGCACAACATCCTGATTAATTGAGAATATTGAAAATATATTAAAAATATATGCATAAAAATATGAATAAATACATGCCCAAGCACTTCACGTGATATTGACTATACCATTCTCATCTCAACCAAGATAACTTCCCAATATTGGAAACCTAATCAACAACCTCAATCCTGATAAAATAAAGTCCGATTTGACAGCACAGAATATAATGCGCCAATTAAAGAGTCCAAAGTTTAGAGGTAGTCAAACCATAAATCTTGTATTTGTCTGAAACAATACCAAGAAGAAATTAAGAATTTATAAATTCTTGGAAAGTAGACATGCAGAACGATAAAGAGGGAGCTGTGTCAGATGTTCTGGAGATACATTTCTGAAATACACAGCTTAAAAGATCTGAAGCTGAAAATGCACTGTCTACAAAGGACAAATGGGAAACAGAGGGCAATTTCATAATGAAACTGGAAACTTGTGAAAACACAATGACACACCAGAGGAAATGTAACCCTTCTAGATGGAAAGTTTGCTGAGATTTTTCAGAAGTCCTCTGCAATGCAAGTTTCTACATACAAAATTGTTGTGTTGGAGATCTTGAGGCAAAAGAAAAAAATGCTAATTACATCCAAATGTTTGGTCTTGCCAACTGATCCTCCAGTTCTGGACTGAAAGATATGAGGTATTAGGGGAAAAAATAAATTAACTATTTCATTTTTTTTCAAAACCTTAAATTCCAAACCTTCAATACTAAATAGTCAGGAGAAAAACTATTTGTTTTATTGGTAGCCTGTAAAACAGCACTTACCAGAAAGTGGCTAACTCCCTCCCTTCAACTGAAGTCTGGACTGACGTGATTTACAATTTTTTTGTGATGAAGAAGCTGTCCATTTTCAAACAAGAGGTGGACAAATTCACTCTTCTGGGAATCTTGGACTCAGTATATAACACCTGTAAGATCAGATTTTTCATAACTAAGCTGTTTTTTTTACTATTAACCAACTTTCTATATGTGTAAGATGCTACTCTCTGCTCTAGTAGCTCAGTAGTTTTTGTGTGTTTTTGGGGGAAGGGGGGAGTTTTAAGAAAATTGTAAAGAGTGCATCAGTCAAAATGTAGTGCATGCAATTTCCAAATAAAAAATGCATATTAAAAAAAACTGAAAAGGATGGCATGCATGTGCCATTTTTATATCTAAATAAAACCAAGTGAAACTAACTGCTTTCAGAAGTCACACAAATAGTATTTACATTCCACCTGAGAGTAGTTGGATCTCTGGAAACAACTGTTTTGTAAAGGCCTTAGACATTTTTAGAAAGCATTAGCTAACATCACAAAAACCAAGGAACACAACAGACAGGTTAGGGAGAAAGTTGTGTAAAAGTACCAAGAATGGTTAGGTGAGAAAACAACAGCTCAAACAATTAAATCCACCATCTGAAAGCAGGAAAAGTATGGCACTCCTACAAAGAACTACCAAAGACATGGGTCTTCAGACGGTAATTAGTAGTGAACTCCACAAAGAGTGCACTACTTATGACAAAGTGGAAGGTTGTTGTTCCACAAACAACAACCTATTGTTGTTCCACAAACAACCTTCTACAGTTGTTTGTTCATCTTCTACAGAAATAACTAGAAGAAGTTCATTCTGTAGATGCACACAAGCAATGTAGGTGGAAGCAACAGGTGGTAGACAAATCTCTGGACGGGGAGACTTTTTTTTAATCTATATGCAAAACAGCATATAGATTAAAACCAAAACCATGTAAACATCCTCCCTAATGTAGAAGAATGACATCATCATCATGAAGGGATGCTTTTATTTAATGTCAGACTTGATGGGAAGTTGGACGGAGATGAAACACAGGGCAATATTGGAAGAAAACCTGTAATAAGCTGCAAAAGAGCTGCATCTCAGGCAGATGTTCACATTCCTGCAGGAAAATAGGAATGGCATGCAAATATCTGCATGCCATACTTCTCGGTTTTTCTTTTGGATCTGTACATTTTTAAACAAAATCCTATATGAGTTTTCCCTTTGCTTCACATTCTGTGTTCATTGAATAGGCCAGGAATTACAGTAAGACATCCTGAAGCATGTGGTTGATTTCTGCAAAAGTTTGAGAATGGTCCACGGTTTTTGACACTTTTGAAAGGTACAGGATTCTCAGTTTCTAGACTTAAAATAAATGGTAAAAAGAGTTTATCTTTGTATTGTTGCCTTTTTTACTATTTTCTTAGTGGCTATTACTTAATCCAAGAAATCCATGATAATTGGAAACATTTCTGATCTTAGAATTTATTAAAACACTGACTTACTGGATAAATGTTATAGTAAAGTCGCAAGTAGTTTAATTCTGTCTGGCATCCTCGGCTGACACCGGACGCGTCTTTAAATGTGTTTTAGTCGCCTCCAATAGCAGCTCCATAAACTAAATAACCCCAACAAAAAACAACGAGAGCCTTTGGTGTCTTAAACACCATCAGTTGATTTGTTTTAAAGACGGGTGTGTCAATATGTTGTTTCACTGCTATACCGACATATGTCTTGTACCTGCATCATTGTATATTTCGACTCTGCAGGGCTTCCAAACCCATTGACACCAATGAAGCTGCTGCTGAAATAAGAGTTGGTAAGATTGGCGTCGCTGAGGGCAGGACCCTCCATCCCTGGGACTGTGGATGACAAAACATAAAACAGAGTCAATACTGACTGAAACAAGATTAATGTAACATGTAGTTACTTCTGCGCAGAGGTCCCAGCAGCGATTACTATGAGAACGTGTAATTACCCAGTCACAGGGCTAATTGTAAAGCATGTAAACACTGTCGACTCTTTCGGAGACAGCCACAACGCGACATGTCTAAAAAGTTTTTATTACCGATTTCCGTGTCTTTAAGTGGACGCAGACCTATAGAGTAACTTAAACGTTTAAAAATATAAGTTATTTACAGTGTTTGCCCCGAGAAAAGGGGCCACCAAAGAGCAAAAACAATGACAGCTAGCACTGCCATGCTAATGATGGCAAACGTAAGGCAGAGTCCTATAATCTATGAATGCGCCAAACTTTCAGGAAAAAAAACTGAATGATAACTAATATCGCAAGTACTAACATTTATTGACACATTGGAACCGAAGCCAGGAGCGAAAAAAGTTTGACAATCAAATCAGCTAGTTTAGCTAATGCTAACTAGCCCACCCAGCTGTCATACAAAAACAACAGGCCTCACTCTGAGCTCCAGAAGTATATTTCTTCTCTGAAGCCTTTAATAACGGAGCCAGCGATCAAAGCATGAAGTGAGAACTTTTCACAACACAACCAAGTAATACGGAAGCAGCTGTGTACGTAGCAAAGGTTTTCTATGTGCAAGTTAAATGTCAAGCACGCTGTTGTGAGGTAAAAAGGCCCAACTGAATCTTCGGACTAAATTTGAACACAGAACCGGAAGGCCCTTTGGAAAAGTCTGGCTCAATCAGCCCACCCGTGTGTTGTTTTGCTTAGTTTACTCACTGGTTAGCAGCTGCCCCTCCAAAGCCGTGCCTGCAGGCCCAAGTGCTTCGCTTTTCTTGGACACTCCGGTCCCTCCACCGCCTGGGCAGACCGTCGCCGTACCACCGAGGGAATACCCCGCTGGCGTCCCGCCACCTCCGGCCATGGGCAGCGGGACGGGGCTGCCGCCACCTCCGTGCAGCGACATGCTTCCCATGGAGGGATCCTCGTGCAGGAACTGGCACTCATCTCCGTAAAAGCAGGTTTTGTCTTTTGCGTAGTATCGGCAAAACTTCACCTTGACACTGGGTATCCCGGCACCCCCGAGCGGAGCAGCGGAAGGTGGAAGTCCGCTGTTCATGGCACCGCCGCTGCTGCCGGAAGATACTCAACCATAGAGAAGACGCGGGGAGCTAGCCTGCTAGCTAGCTACTTTACAAACACTTTCCCCTCAAAGTAACGGATCGAAACCAGCACAGCTCACGGAGAACACCGAGTTCCTTGCATTACGAATATAAAATGCATTTCGTTTTAAGTGAATATGACGGCGCACACGAGGTCCTGCTCGTCGTTGTTGTCGCTCTCCATGCAGCTGCCTTCCTTGCAGAGTAGCCTGTTGTTGTTTTCTGCTCGCACTCTGGCTGCTGAGCTACGGAGCAGCGAGCATGGCTCTGCATCCTGGGTTCACCAGCGCTCACCTGCTGCTAGCACAACTTGCAGCAGTCATGTTCCTAACAGCTAATATCTTTTACTGCTGACTTTTATTCGGTTTTGTAAAAAAAAAATAATTAAAATAAATAAATAAACATTAAAAAGAAAAGAAAAGGGACAAAAATGAAAAGCGATGCGTTTAAAACACTTCGATAAAATGTGATGCAGACATGTTTCAGGAAAAAATAAAAAAATAAAAAATTATATATATATATATATATATATATATATATATATATATATATATATATTATGTGTGTGTGTGTGTGTGTGTGTGTGTGTGTGTGTGTGTGTGTGTGTGTGTGTGTGTGTGTGTGTGAGAGAGAGAAAAGTACCTGGATAATTTATAATATGGTTAGAGCCAGCCTTAAGCTTGTCAGAGTTACCAGTTAGTTTCCTAAAAGCATCATGACAGAAACAAAAATTATTCCAAAAACGTGTTCACTCTGTTCAGATGTACAGTTGCTTTTACTTCACAATTTAGTCCATTTTCTTTTATTCAGGCTTGAGCTCTAGAGCCAGATCCGGCATTCCAGTTGATTTTTCCTACTCAGAAGTTGGACAAATCCAAATGTGGACCATTTCTAGTTCCCAAGAACACAGCATCAATCTGCTCTGGGGCCTGGAACATTTTGGGCCAGCTCTTGTGGTGCATGTTGCTCTTCATTGCAGAAACAAGCACATTTACCCTAAGATAAATTGAAAAGTACTAATATTGATTCTTCATTCTACTTTTCCCACCTCTTCTTCTTCAAATCGAGTTCTTTTTTGAAAATAATAACTAGGGCTTATCATATTCCTTCATCCCGTCAGAAATATTTTCTGTGGTTTCAATTTAGATAAGTTTTTCATTCTTTCCAGATATGTGGCAGAAGTCAGGGCGGAAGACTTTGCAGTAGTACATTACTTCCTCTTTCAAAACATACTGGTTCACATCCCGCACAGCAAAGTTTCACAGTGCTGTCTCAGGCGGAGTATGTAAGCCAGATTGCCGGGAAGCTTCATGATGCGGAGAAAGAGATACATGATTGCAGGTAAGAGGAGGCATTTAAGTCTTTTACTGATGTTGCAAAACTCATGTACATATTTGGTCTAATTTGTAAATATACGCATGTTTTTTTCCCTAATAATTTAAAAATGACCATATTTGTAAAACACAAAATTGACTTGACTGAAATGTCTAAATATTGGAAGATTTGCTTGAAGCTTAAACAATGCAATGAAAAGATTAATACATGAAAAAAAGTAAAGCCAACCTATTTGCATTCACTTATCAGAATTGGGTAGTAACACATGCAATCAACTTACAAAAATAAGGAACTCTATTTAGTCCACGATATGGACTTGGTAACACAAATTATTAATACTATTGTGTTAATGATAATATTATCATTAACACATTTTGAAATTTTCAATAGTCAAATAACTGTATTTTTACACAGCTTTTTTTTGTAAGTTGCTGTTTTCTATGCAAAAATACACATCTTGCAAAAAAATTTGTTGAAGTTGCACATTTCTTCTTTAAGTGTGCTATTTTCAATAACTGCATTTTTTTATGTTGTAAGTTTTCCCTTACTGTAATCTTTTTTTTTTTTTTTATTACCTTAGTTTAAATCTGCTTGCTTCTATTTAACTTTATCTTGCTGCTAGTACATCTGAATTTTTCCACTGTGGGACATTTAGGGATAGTTCTATTCTATGGTTTTTATTATTATTTTATTTTAGTGGACATCTAACCCTATCTGATATATAAAGTGCTAAAGTTATATCCTCAGTGATGACGAAGGTATACGGCTGTCTGTCTACTATTTTTATTGGGATATTTTGGTTTGACTGACTGTAAACGTCCCAAACATGCAGAACGCATTATATTTTATTTAAAATAATGCAAAGTTTAAAAAAGAAAAAAGTTAGTCCGCAAATATTACAACTGTGAATGCTTGTTTTAAAGGAGCAGTTATGTTATTTTTTTTCAAGTATTAATTTATTTTTAATCTAGTGTATATCATAAGCGGCTAGAGTTGTTTATTATGCGACAAATAAGAACTGCGTAGTGGTCAAAGTTCAATCTTTGTGCCAATTTTAAAATTAACTCACTCAGATCACAACTATTAGACTTTTTAAATTTTTTATTGTTGTGGACAGATGACATGATGACACCAACTCTTAACATTATCTGACCCAAATCTGTTCAGATTTTCTATATCATATGAAAATATAATGAATATGTTCAATAATGAATACAGTTGTTTTCTTTTTTCTTTTTTTTTTCTTGTGTTAAACTGGTCAGAGTGATTTAAAAATCAGTTGTTACAGTGCCTGGCAAAGCTGGCACTTGGGACCTTTTCATATTTTGCTGTATTACAAGCTTCTGTGTATTTCATTGGACTTTCCTGTAAAAGACCAACACTAAGTATTGCCTGATTGCAAAGTGCAAGGAAAGTGAAAATAAAAAGACTGATAAATGTGGCATATATTCAGGACCTTTGAGTCAATCAACTCTTTGCTGTTCACTTTTGGATGTAAAGTCATATACAAAGTAAAGTGGTGTTAGTTTGCAGTTGTTTGATCTCTGCAGCTCCCCCAGCATTGCAAGGCTGCTTTTCTGATGAATTGGTGATTAAGAGATTAAGAGCAGACTGAATCATGACTTTACTGACAAATAACAGAATTAACGTTGAAAATAACACATTCCTTCCTCTCTACTTCACAACTACGCACCACTTTGCATTTGTGCCGTCACGACTTTCTGATACTTCGGACATTCATTGTGAATTGGTGCTATGTAAAGAAACTGAACTGAATTGGACTTGTTGAATAAATACTGAAAACGTTCTGAGTTTTATTAGTTTCAACTAATTTAATTGATTTCTATTTGTCGTTTCAGGTGCTCTCCTGCTGTGTGCTGTTAGCGCCCTCTGCTCTGACGGTGATGCAAATCAGAAATGTGTGTCGACGTGGGAGGTAAAAGAAAAAGCTTCTCAGCATTAAAATGGGGTGTTGATGTTTTAATAGGGATACAAATCAAACTAAATATTTAGGTTTTCTTCAGAAATAATACATTAATTTTGAAAATGATTGATTTTCTTCCCCCCCTCAATAAACTAAGAAAACTTTCAACCATTATTTGCTGGTTTTATACCTTAAATGATGAGTTAATACTTACAATTCCCACAGAATTGTAAGTATTAACTATTTTTCCCACACAAAACCATATGAGTTTTAGGTATCGCAGCCTATACTTTAAACATTATTATTAAGCAGGGCTAAAGATGACATGAAACAAACTGCTTGCAGGACTGAATCCAAACTGTTTTGCATAGACGTGTGAGCAAATTCCCCCCACAGAAATGCAACAGGCTCATTACCAGCAGTTACAGCAAGAGACTGAGGCTCCCAAAGCTAGTTATGAAGTTTATGTGACAATTGATTTTTAATATAGGGCCATGACAGTTTGTATGGATTGTTTTCTCAAGAAATGAAATCACGGTTGTAAATGGGATATTTATATTTATCCTGGTTATCTTGGTTTGATGTAAAAATCAGTTTAATCTAAAACATCCAAGCATAAGCACCATTAGGGGCAAATACTTTATCACAACACAAAGCAACATTAGTGCAACACTTGTCACTGAACTCGACAATCTTGCTAACAGTGACATGTTTGGAGCTTTTCTGTTTAAGAGGATTGAGTACTGAATTCTGCCTTCCAGGCGGATTGCTTTCAGCCAGCTGACCACCTGAATGACTCTCATCCTGTCAGCCTGAAGTTGTCAGCTGGTAAGAAACTCCTCATCTCTCTCGAGGGCCTTCCTGATTATTCTGTCTGCCAGTGGGGGAGAGAGCAAGGCCCACTGATGAACATGTGAGTGTGTTTTTAGGTTTATGTACTTGTTGATCGATCTGCTCTTTTCTTTACGTGTGTAAAGTTTTGACATTTTCTTAAACGTCTCCAGAAATGGGGGTGTCTCCATGGTCACACCAAGACTTTCAAGGAATGATTGTGGGATGTACAATCTGACCTGTAAAAGTCAACAGATGACCATTTTCTCAAAAACTGTTGATCTTCGAATCCTCGGTGAGTCGCAGCTTCATCACTTCTCGTCTTCATTAAGACTCAACTAAAAAGAGAAGCACAAAAATGTCTTAATGTGGATAAAGTAATGAGTTTTAAATTATGTTAATCAATGTGATTCACGCGCTTCCTAGAACGTCCCTCAAAACCAAAGCTGTCTCTGGATCTTATGGATACTCCAGGATCGGCTCCTTACTTTAAATGCATCTCTGAGGGTTCTCCAAGGCCCAGTATTAAATGGTCTATGTAAGACAACTAGATTCTCTGTTCATACATAAATAGTTTTATCATTCACCCTCTGACTATCAACCTTTCCTCTCAGTCCATACCAAAGGGATGAGAACAATGTTATTGACGATTGGACAGCAGAGAGCTTAGCCACAACTGCGAAATATGGAGACACAGGAGCGATGTGTTGTGCCACCAACGATGAAGGACAAGAATGCACCCAGCTGTATGACTTTGGTAATTACATAAAAAAACAGACCAATATGAGGAAATGTTTTAACCCAAACAGTAACTCTGACCAGAGAAAGAAAACAGCTCTCATCTCATTATTATTCTCAAATGAAGTTAAAAAAAATAGAAATAAACACGTTGAATATCTTGAAGTGTTTTATGTTTCAGACTTAAATACTGCTTCAGTGAAACCAGATGAGGTTTCTAGTGTGACCATAAGTCCCGGTGATCCTTTGCTGCTTCGCTGCAGAAAAAATGATGATTCTAAACTTATGTGGGAACATGATGGCAAGGTTTGGAGGAAACTTGTGCAATTAATGAGGTACAGCAATGAAAACTATGATTTTTGTTTTATTATATTCAAATGCAACCACAGATTAGCCACAGATTAATGTGGTTAATCTGTGGTTAATGATCAGCATATTTATGATGTTCTACATGGACATCATTCATGTAGAACAATGTTTAAAACAATGTTTAAAAACATTGTTCTACATGATTATGATTTCAATGTTTTTCTCCAGATCTGTATTAAAAGGAACAGGAATTTGAAGAGCCACATGCTGTATGCCTTCATC